GGATCTGTTTTTTGTTCCTTCTTTTTTTTTTCTTCTTGTTTCGGAGGTTTTCTAAGAAGAAGGATTGGAAAGAATGGAAATGGACAGCAGCACTAGAATTGCGTGTCGCTCATCAGGTCCAGCTCCCACCCCCCCGCAAAGAAACAAAGAAACAGGAAGGACACCACTGTGTTGCCGTTTGCTTGGATGACAGGACTTGAACTTTTTGCCAACGAACGGGTTTTCCATTAAACCACTAAAAGTTAAACACTGTTAGCAGCGGAGCGGAAAGCAACCGAGACGCAAGAAGAAAAGCACATCACAACCGGGGGTTCCCTAAAATAAGAGTCGCTCTTTTTCAACGAAAACTGTCTCTGGGTTGTCGAGAATCGGGTATGTGCATGTGTGTCAAGTCCCTTTGCAAGGTTTGGCTCAAGATGTGAACTGACATGCGAGATAACAATTATTAGCTACTCAAACAACATCTCTGCCAACAAATGATCCGTAGAAATTTCTGCCCACTAAAAGTACACGTGCAAGATTACTTCTAAGTTCGCCATGCAAAAACCCCCTCCAACGAACTTTCGCACGTGCAATGCCAATTCATCCAGTTAGATCCCCGAATTCCTACAACATATTTCACGTGCGCACTGTCCAGACAGTATTCATATTTTAGCACAACAATACATTGGACCTACTGGGGGGGAATAAAGCTTTACATATGAGTTCTATATTTAGTGTGCAAATGATTGTCTGTGTGCACACGCAATAGGACCAATGTCAACTCATAGAGTTGTAGGGATCTCACCCGCTGCCTTGCTTTGTAGATTTCCTTCGTATTTGCCCTCCCGTTTCAATCGCGGATGCGTTGTGCTTACAAACACCAGAGAATTCCTCACCAAAACAGGAGGGTGGCACCTGATTTATCTCACCCGGTGACTCCTTGCAATCTACCTCATTTTTGTGCAGGTAACCCTTCGTTTGGTGGCTTGGATTGGTTTTGGGGATTTGACCCCCTGGTTCCTGCAGAGGGTAAATAGGACACCCCGGAACTCCGAATCCACGCAGCCAATTGGAGGGCAGCTGTAAGCTGGATGTCCAACGCCCCTATTTGGCGTCAGATGCTGATGGCTTCGCAAGCCCAAGAGTTTCAGGTCGACCCAGCTTATGGCAACAACTTCTTTTTTTTTAACAACCGCAATTTGGCTGGGCTGCTCAGATTCTAATTTCCTCAGAGGCCGTTTTCTTCCCAACAATTGTCGCTGAATTCCCTCAAATCAGGGATTCACCACACAACATCCACCTGCTTCTGTTCTGGGGGAAGCGGCCACCTCCAAGTACCGCGTGAGGATCTCCTTCATCCTGCGAATGGATAAACCAACTCGCTTGCCCTCTCAGGACCAAAATACAAGGGGATAAAAGACTAGCATGGGGTTCTGGGGTACTAGATGGCTGTGGGTCAAAAGTAGGGTAACCCCAAAATGGGTTGCCCAGGTAAATGGAAACATGGACGATTAAACCTGCGGTCCATATCATGGCTTTCTTTTGACCAGTTATTTAATTAAGAAGTAAAGAAGAAGAAGAAGAAGCAGAAGAAGAAGAGTAAGAAGGAAAAAACCCAAAAAACACTCACCCCAGAAACTGAACTCCCCCCCCCCGGGTTTTATTAAAAAAAGAAAAGCGAGCGACCAGGGTCACACTCAAAAGCTGCGAAAAGTCTCCTTGCGCCTTGCCAGGCGGCATCTCGCAGGAGCAGCTGTCCTTCCTGGACTCGGCCGGAAGCCGAGTGTGTGTTCTTTTTTTTTGGGTTTTTGGTTCAGGCAGACCAGGACTCTATTGGGTTGGATCTTTCGACTTTAACTGTTTGGATTCCCTTCATATTTCCTTTTAACCAGCAAAAAGTTCAACTTTTTGCTGGGGGATCTACAGCACTCAAGAAGAAGGGTGGGGTTGTAACCTGGAGGTGGTGGGATTTTCAAAACCAAGCTGAAGGTGACAAAGCCCTAAACCCTCAACCCTAAACCCAAAAACTGAAGGTGACAAAAACCACTCCCTGAAGGGTTCTCCAAAAGTTACCGTTGGGACCTTCAGGGGAGTGGTTTTGTCACCTGAGACTGGACCCGGGACCCCAAGAGAGTGCCGCGACTGGATTGGGCTTTCGGGATAACGATGGCACCCTTAGGGGGGAAGGGGGCAGTCCCCATTCTCTTTACCCATCGTGTTCTCCTCAACGGCCAATTTTCCGAGGCTTTTGACAGATCTTCATGGGGGAAATTACAGCTCAACCAAGGCTAACCACTTGCGTCTGCCGACCCCTAGGGTCAGGGATCTTCCAAAGAAGTTGCCAAAAAATCGGGTCGCGGTTTAGGAAGCTTCGGGTGCATCTTGGAAGCCACCGTTTTCTATTTCTATTTTTACAGGAACATGGACAGACGTCAGGACATCCTTTTTGCCGTTTTAGTTTCCCACCAGCCGTTTGCCGATATATCCCCAAGCCCAAGCTTTGCCAAGGCTGAACGATGACCAAACCCCAGGTAGACAGAGAGAGAGAGAGAGAGATATACATATATATATATATATGTATCTATATATATATATATAGCGAACGGCTCATGTGTGGTTTCCCTGCATGGAAGCAACCCTGGTGAACTTCCCCCCCCCATCCGGTTGTGCCGACAAATCAATGGCCTTGTCTCATGGGAATCGAATCCCTTCAAATGTCACAAAACTGCCACTTTTGGCACCCTGAGGGAAATAGACAAAAACTTCCCCCGCCCCAACCAAGAAACAACCACAAAGGCAAAGAAGAATGAAAGCAAACAGCTGGGCCCGGGAAATGAAACAGCGCTCGGTGTGTTTTGCCTGGCAGCCAAGGCGCTACAGAGCTCAGAGGCCCGGGCTCGGGCGAGAAGCCACCGGTGGAAAGCAAAAGGCTTGGGGGAAGAACGTTTCGGCCTTGGGGCTGTTTTGAGCGAACAGCCGCCAAATATGGACTGAAGGTTGGGTGACTCAATACTCTTTGAACGCGCTTTCGTGGCGGGGAAAAGTCATGTAGGCCCGAAGTCGGGTGCGATGATGACCTGCGTCGTCCCATTCCAATGGTTTATGGAGCATGTTGGACCCCCCGTTGCCCGCTCGAGTTCTTAGAGCTTTCATCGCTGGAATTCGCACTTTCTGGGGCCAATGCAAGGAAGTGAGTTGGATCCCTCTTTTCAAGCGTTGCTCTTGCCCAAATCCAGCCCTTTTCTCCGGATTTCAGCTGGCAATCTGGGAGGTTCCTGCTTTGGGCCCCTACCTCCAACATGGCCATCCTAACATACTCATGTGCCAAGTTCAAATCCTAGAAAAAGGCATAAAGACAACCACACGCACATATGAACCATGATATGCCCCTCTAGACTCTGGGCTTACAGTACCAAACGTTGGTTGGGGCTTCTCCAAAATTGAAGAAGCCAGCATGGATTCCTGTGGGGGGGGGGCAGGACCCCGGAATGGAAGACTTGAATCGATTTACAGCGGGAACCTTCAGCTCTCTTTTCTCTGACCGCTTTTTTTGGTCCCGCCTCTACGTCTTCGCGAGGGGCGAGTTCGGCCAGTCGCCCGATCGATTTTTCCGACGGCCGGATCCGTCAGGCGGAGGGGCGGAAGGTGCTGGTCTTCCTGCACGTGCCCCTCTTCGAGCCCGCCACCAAGGCCAAGACCGTGGTGTGGAACGCGGAGGAAGCCGTGGGCAACGCGCGTGTGGGAGGAAAATGGGTGACCGACTTGGTTTCCCTAGCCTGGTCGACTTGGTTTCCATTTAAGCCAGGTGAAACGGGCAAACCTCGAGAATAGGACAAAGAGATTCTTCGTTTGTTGGGGCCCCAGGGGCCGAAAGCCCTTGGTCTCAAGCTCCAGAGTTGGTCCGGAGCGGCTCTCAGAGGGTCGTTGGTTTCGATTTTTTCAGGAGCTGGCGGAGATGGTTGCTGTGAGGTCCCAACCATGACCGGGGGGCAGGATTTTGCCTACGTCTGAGGACTATCAAAGCACTTGAGGTGACTTTGATGATTGTAAAATCATGAGGTCAGCATGAGTTGCCCATTCAACCCCCCCTACCAGCTTCTTAACGTGGGTTTTCAGTTGGACGCTCTCCTCGTTTGTTTGCGGTGGAAGCCCAATATGGGCGTCTCTGTCAGAAGGTCCCCTATTTGTCGCCGGAACCAAAAGGAAACTGAGAGTTTTGCTCATCAGCATTCACGCCATCCTCGGCTAATTCGGCCCGAATCGCATGGATCCGCAGGGGGATCCACTTGCGCAGTTTTCATCGGCCATGGAAAAGGCGCCGCCGGGACATCCGGCAATCTTGCGTCGCGTTGCACTGACTAAGCATTTCGCTTCGGCCTCGCTTCCCTCCCTCAGAGTACGGCCCTGGCCTATGTGTACCACCTTGCTAATCTTCGTGGAAGGAAGGGTCTGGTCCACTCACATGGAACTCACGTCCATAGCGGTTCGTTCTGCCTCAGCCTCTTGCGGCCACAGCTCTCGGAACACCCCTACAGCTGGCAACCCCTTCTCTAGGTCAATCGGGTTATTCGTCGGCAAGATGCGCTTGTCGCCGCTGGAGTGGCGCCCAGATTCTTTCACCTCAGTTTGCCAACCTTTTTCAGGCCTCGCAGATCTCTGATTCTCCCTTCTCCTCCTTGTCCTTGAAGGACAGCTTGGACTGGTCTGGCCCCCCGTTGTCCACCCGCTCCTTCTCGGTGCCACCAGTGCGCTTCAGATTGCCCTACGCTGCCTGAGTCTCTTCCGGAGGCTCTCTCAGGCCACCAGGAGCCAGATGACTGAGCAAGCTGGAGTTGCGGGCTGGCAGAGATTGGCCAGCCTTTCTGAAGACAAGCTCCCGCCCAACAGGCTGCATGCCTTCCTCTAGTCCTCCAAGCATGGCTCCTGTTCCAGGACAGCCCCTTGAACGCGGCCGCAGTTCTGGATGTCGGGCCAAGCACACTGCCCGCTGTTCTCAGCTTGGCGTGCTTGTGCTTGCGATGCCGCAAGGCACGGGCCGCGCTTGGGGAACCGGCACCCCTGGAGCCGAAGCAAAAGAGATGTGCATCACACGCAGTGAGATTCTCTTCAACCCGGGCCTCATGGATGCCGAAGCGCTCTACGATCGTTGCTCTGACAAGACTGGACGCACTGCGCCGCGCGCTTCGTTTTCAGCTCGCAGTTTGTTGAGAAGCCGGGTTCCCTGTTTGTGAAACTTGTCACATGGAACACAGAAGCCAGGGAAAGCGGGATTCCCAGCATAGCAAGCACTGTATTGGCTCATCGTGGAAATGTCTAGCCCAGACTTTGTGCGCCTTTGGCGGCGAATGGGGGGAGGGGGTGGGAGCAAACCAGGGGTGAATACTCACATGGATGGGACAGTGGCCATATGGGGGGTGCTTTTGTTGAAGGAACCGTGTTTTGCAAGTTTACCAACCTGTATCACCTAAAAAGGACGGAGCCACGTCCCTGGCAATCTACTTTTTATTTGCGCGACACGCCCCGGTCCCTGACCAAATCTTCCATCAAAGGGCTTGAAAGCTTCAGACCAGATGGTGTTGGAAATCCCTCCGAATTGTGACGCAGTTTCCGTTTGCCTGTTTAGCCTCGCGGTTGCTTGAAACCTCCAAATGTGCGTTAACTGCACCTATTGGTATGCAAGCTGTTTGTTACTCACAATACCCAGCAATCTCCATACCCCTTGGCTAGGGAATCGGCATGAGTTGTCAACCCTATCAAAACGGAGGCATTTTGTTTTGCTTTTTCCGGTTTTGAGCGGCAGGAGGTGCTGCAAGTGCTGCACGCCAAGAAGGACACCGTGGTGGCAGTCTTCGCGGGCCACGATCATGACGGCGGTTTCTCGGTGGCTGACGCGTCGAATTAAACTTGGCAAGCGGCAAACCAAGGTTTGGGGCGGCGGGGGTGTCACTTTTGAGCTGAAAGGTAGCAATAAGGGGCTAAATGGTTACACTCAGTATCGTATGAGCATGACTTATTTTGATTTTTTATATACCCTATAATCCTATTCTAATTTTATTTAGGCCCTAGTAGCTTGGATTCCGTGTTTTTGAGCACGTTGGACTCCTTCTGATTTACCGGCTCCTTCACTTTCGATCGCTATTCTACCTGCAGTGGCTATGGGGAACGCCAGCTTGGCAACTGGGCAGCCCTTACTAAATGTTGAGTTTGGTTTGGGTTCCCTGCCTCTAAACACTAAAATCGATCGCTGGTCCAGTTTCTGCACACAGAGCACCCTCCTCAATTTCGTCGCACGGGGCAGGGACCAATAGTAGCTCTGATCTTCCCATGTCCGCGACAGCAACTGGTTGAACTTGTTCTTCCTCCATCGCAGGAAGGGGTTCCGCCCATTTCAAGAATTCAAGCTTCAGAAAGCTGCCATTGGCTTCTTCAGAGGGCCATTCAGGACTACTAAGCTGTAGAGGGTGGCTGCTTTGCACCTCTCAAGGGCGGTTTTGTCGTGTACCCTTCGGGGTGAACCCCCAGATTCTTTCCCAGTGCGGGAGACCATACATCTTCCCCTTCTGACTGTATACCTCTTGGTCTACAGACAGTTTGGGCATGTAGGAAGGATGTGGGGGCACCACACACAGTACCCAGACCCACAGATGGACCTTTTTTTTTTGCCAGGTGCTTTGGGGAACAGGTAATCATGTCCGTGGCTCGTTTGATGTTCGGTCAACATGATAGTAGTCTATGGTCAGAATCGGATGGGGACTGATTTTGGGGAGGAGCATCTTCTGAATGCTCATACGGATAGAATGTAGATTGGAGCCCAAAAACGCGACCCCCGCACGGAACACTGCCAAGACAGTAGCAAAAGGAACCCTTTCAGGGAACGGTTTGGATACAGTATGGCTTTCGTGGATCCCCCGTAGAATATCAGAACCGTGCCAGGAAAGCACGACAACAAGTGCTGTGGGGAGGGGGACTTCAGGAGAAAGCCGCAGCAGACGTGCACCGGACCAACGAGCTTGTTTTCCTTTGTCCCAATCTTCACCGCTTGTTTTCGCCCTGTCAGGTCAGCCGTGACTCTTTTGATAGAAACGCCCGGGCTTTCCAAAGCTCGGTTCGCCTACTGGCTATGCTCATGAGGGTGTTGGAGTTTGTTGGTTTTTGGTGTAGCCTGCTTACAAATATGATGGTTGCGAAGTCAAAATCAATTGATACTCCGGGTTTGGGTTCCTACCCCCTCCCGAAATACCCTCTCTTTTTTGTTTCTCCTCTAACGGGTAAATGCTCAAAGGCCAGCTGTTCAATATAGTAAATACTCCCTTCAAAGCAGATCATTGCAACGTCGTTCAGGTGTTTTTCCTTTATGACCGCATGGCCCGCATATCCGCATAGGGACTTTGACCAAGATCGTTTGTTAGTCGGTTGCGAGTCTGGCACGGAATCCTCAGGCTACGCGGTGGATGATGCAGGACCTCTCTGGTCATGTGTTTTTGTTGGTGGAGAAAAGGGATGCCTTCTACTCCAATGCCACCATTACTTTTTACTTTTTTATCATTATCAGAGACCAGGTTTTCACACATACAATGGGTTCGAGGGATTGTCTCCTTTGCGGTCCTTGGAGACCCATAGGACCTCTGTCCAAACATACGGGTGCTTCTCAAAACAACAATCGGTACACCAACATGTTGTTTCTCAAGTTTGGTTTGCCTGCGCAAAGTATAAACCCCAACGGGGTCCACCATCTTGAGATAAACCCAAGTGTCCAAGATCCTATGCTAGAATTTCCTTTGATTTCCTGTAGCTACTGTGGCTTGGCAAGGTTTGAGAGTCTGAGACAAACTCATACTACGATTTTCGGAGTGAGGCACAGTGGTGACGCTGGAGCCGCCTTTTTGGGTGTTTCCCAAAACGTGGGAACTCTAAAATGGTGAGGCTGCTTCTGGTTACAAGTTGCAGGGTTGACTGAGATAAACTCATACTGCGATGTTCGGAGAGGTAAAGTGGGATGTTTTTTTTCTTTTTCAAGGACTGCACCACGTCATCTGGTGACCAGTGGGGGATGTTTTTTTGCAGGACTGCACCACATCACCATGAACTCCCCGCTGACGGCGGTGAGCGAGAACTGCTGCGGGGTCTTGACCTGCCACGAGGGCTGGGCTCACTTCAAAGCCTATGGCCGGGCGTGCGCGCCGCACTCAGAGGTTGGGAAATCGCTTGGTGGCCCCCAGCTATGCGGTGCTTTGACTTGTTAGCTTTTCAGTGTTTAGTGGCAGTTTCCATGTGGCTGTGGGTCAAAACTAACCACCAGGGGACCGCAGGTTTTAGTCTTTGGTTCCATTTACCAGGGGTCCATTTTGGGGTTACCCTATTTTTGACCCACAGCCATGTAACCCACTCAAAGTTAAAACCTTTTGGCGGGGGATATGAGGGCAGCCCAGTTCATGTTGAGTCCAGATGCATCAACCCCAGTTAAACTTTTGGTGCTGTGTGTTTCCAAGAGTGGTCTGATTGCCCACGAAGCCCAGGGACACCAACCTGGGGTTTACTTCTCCAGGGTCAGTCATTGGGGGTACGGGCGGACTGTGTCTCAACCACGCCTCTGAGCGAGGTGGAAAGTTGCACGCAGGGCAAAGGCCGCGCCTACCCCGAGCTGCTGCTGGCCAAAGGCGGGGGGTTCGGGTTTCGGCCGCCCGAAATCGAGCTCTGGGCGGGCCCAACTACCTGGCTTGGGCTACCTGGTTTCATGGGGTCGGTATAGCAATATATAGCAATGCTATGTGCATGGCAGTCAAGCCCGCATGGTAGGCAACCGGTAGTTTTTCTTTTGGTTTGTAAAGGGCGGTTCCCTTGGTTAAACAGGGGAATGGAATCATTGGTTTGTTTGCTCCGGTAGCTTTTGGGTTTGGCTTTTCGTTGAAGGAAGTCAAACCTCAAGTTGAGTTGGGATAATTTCAGTACGCTTTGATTGCCACTTTTACCGAACTCCTTGCCGGGGATTTCGAAGAATCCCCAGCCACCTGCCAAAAGCCCAAAGACCCCCCTTATTTTGCGACACAAAAAGGGCACAAGATGTGGACATCGCTTGCTGAAAATCTGATGACAATGGCACTGGAAAGCCTGAGAGATCAACTTATTGGTTCGACCAAAATGTTTTTTTTTTTATTTTTCGGTCGGACATTTCTGACATGCTTTCACCTTTAGACATGGGCCCCAGCAACAACATGTCAGTTTCCGACCACTTTACCCTGCGCCCATTTGGGGAACTCAAATTAAAAAGCCAGAAGCACCCCCGAGTCCCTGCGGACCCCCCCCCAAGAAACACGCGCAACGCCAAGGGCTTCAGTTGACCGAATCTATCAAGAGCAGACGACCCTATTTTGGTTATGTTTCCTCTTGGGGTTTGGGGGTTCCCCACGGAGAAATGATGACAGATCTTTGCTACTGGCTTGCCTTCTACTCCAACTACATCCTTTTTGAACAGATATTATGAACAAAAACTGTCTTCGAGTGCCTTTTCAGTCTGGTTGACATCGCAGTCTCACAAAGGATAACTATAGGGCAAGCAGTCCAGGCGCCCAGAACGTGCCGGAGGGCGATGCGCCCGCCTCGCCCAGCGAGGCGAAGACTTCGACCGGGCGCGGCGTGTTTCGTTTTGGTCCGAGCATTGGCGTGGGTGTGAAAATACTGTGGATGGACGAAATCCTGCACCAACGAAGAAGCCATGGAAGCCAGGGTAATCATCATTCCAGGCTTTCTTAGGTGGCGCAGGATTTCGTCCATCCACGGGGATGGCTTTCTTGGACGTACATGCGTGGACAGCATAGCAATTTAGACAGGATCTCAATGCTGAGATGGTTCCACTACCTTCAAACCACTACTGTACCCTACAAGAAACTGAGCACATAGTAGTTTGGACCCCGACAGTGGTCCTCTGGCCGTTAGATTGAATAAGGCGGCCTCAAGAACACATGAGGCCCTGACTTGGAAAGACGCCATTTGCTGCCGAAGATGACTTGGTCTTGAAATATGGGCTTCAAACCGCGGCAAAATTTGGAGTGTCCTGCCCGGTTGGCGGTTAGTACATAATTGCGCACAGTTGTTTAGTTAGACGACTGCCAAGCGGCTAGAGCCCAGGCTGCTGGCACGTCGTCAAAGGGGGTTGCCTGTGGACTGTTTGAAAGGAACTCGAGCTGGCTAAAACTTTCCTTTGTTCACAGTAAAGGCAGAAAATAAGAAACCAGCCTCCAATGATTGATTGTTCGCATATCCGCAGCCTAATTGCTGCCCCAAAAGGAGCGGTTTGAGAAGAGGGGGGTGCTGGTGAAGAGCCCTATCATTTTCATCAACCCACCTTCGTTTTTTCTCAGGGGTCATGGCTTTCGAGCGCGTGCACACGCATGTGTCTCTGCGCGCCTGCGTGTATCTCTGTCTCTGTGTCTCTGTGTGTCCCTGGTTTTGGTGGTTGGCATTTCTATCCCCCCCCAAAACCAACAAACCACCAAACAAGCAAACCCCGCACCAAACCCCGGAACAGGGCATCCACAAACCAAACCCACCGAGCCGCCTGCAACCTCTGGGCGCGCTCCCGACGTTCGCAGAGGCTCTGCGGGCCATGGGCTTCACTGGGCCGCAGGCAGAGGAGGCCTTGAAGGCGAGAAAACGCGCCCCGTTTCGTCGCCTTTTTTCTGGCGGCTCTGGTGGTTTCTTGCGGGGTTTTGCCGTTCTGTGTTTTGTCTGTTGTGTTTGTTTTTGTCTGTTTTGTTTGTTTTGTTTTGCCGTTTTGCTTGTTCTGGTGGTGTTCGTTCTGTGGTTTGGTTTTGTCGTTTGTTTGTTTTTTGCTGGCTGGCCGTTTGTTCTTGGTAATGTTTTTGACAAAGAAGGTGATATTTGAGGCAAATGGGATATCTCATGCAGCTTTTTCACGGAAGCTGCATCACTTTGATGTGATTGTTCTAGAGACCACGGAATGTTGGTATTTTCCAAACGTGGGCGCCAAATTGTCGGGCTTCCGGATGCGCAAAACACCGCTCCGAGTTTTCGTTGTGCGGTCGCACAGGTCGTCCTTGAGGGATGAAAACAAGAAATGGACCAAGCTTGACCTAAAAACGGGGTTGGAGTTGCGATCCAGTTCTCAGTTTCCCTTTGAATACCTCAACTGGCCTGCTCTTCCAATTGAGGCGGTAGCCCGGTTTTCGGGCGACCAGGGTCTCGGTCACCGTTTATGGAACCTGAAGACCCTTAAGGCGCGGTGACCCGCCTTTTTCTTGGTCGGTTCCCGAAAGCCGGGTCAACCTGAAGGGGTCCTTTTTTTTACTCGACAGGCTGCCATGTTTCCAAGATGCCCAACTCAACGAGTTGGCCCAAGAGGCGACGTTTTTGCACCTGCCGATGCCAAGGCCTGAAAAGTGAGACAGCCCAGCGATCAATGTTACAGGATGCCGTCGGCGACCACTGTGCCACTACAATCGAGGGCAGTTCAGGACGCATTCACCCCCCAATCGGATCTTGACTTGTTCAAAGCCCTCGTGTCAGGCTCGCGCGCAATGATTTCCACAGAATGCCAACCTCGAGAAATGGCGTTCAAAGACAGCCAAAAAAGGAGTTGACGTTTGGATCGCCCCTGGATTGAAGGGGGCTTGGAGGCCAAAAAGGGTAGAGCCAAGTGGTTTGGTTTCTTTGGTTTCCCTCTGCAGCACAAAAGTTGCCATAAAAGACGGGTAGTGGATCCGCGTCAAAGCTTCCAATTTCTTAAGAACATGATTTAGTTACCCCTGTTGTTTGTAAATGGAATATCCAACTGTAGTATTACTGGACAACATGTTTCTGGTGCTTACCAAGCCACCGGTCCCAGTTTGCCCGATTTTTTGGTGAAGTGACTGGCCCACATCTAGGCAAGCCACTATAGTAGGGGAAGTCACGTCTGGTGGTAAGTTTGCCTAGTTACTTGCACGGGCAAATGGAACATTAGTCGAGTCAGGCGACCGACGGGGACGTTCAGTCGGCGGTGGCTTTGCTGTGCGGTTGAAGCCGCTGGCAAACCCATGGCTCGACGGCAGAGGCCGGGGAAAACGTGTTTCAACAACCAGCCTCTGGTGTCCGTTAAAGGAAGGCCGAAAGGAGGGTGTTTAAGCAGTAAACAGTGGCTTGAACACAGTTTTTACAAGTTGGGATGAATCATCTTCACTTTTTTTCCTACGATTCTGACTTACAATCCTGGGCGGGAACTTCATGGGGAATGGGGTCCTGACCAACAAATCGTTGCTATTCGGCGGCGGCAACACGCAAATTGACGTTTCTGAGGGTATTGGTGCAAGTCAGGAGCACTTTGACTGGCCGCCGATGTTCGGGAGCCAAGCATCTAGGAAGAACCACCAAGATCACTGGGCAGCTGCGCTCAGTCGGGAGTCGGGATGTGTCAGAGTGCATCGCGCCGGAGGCGAAGCCTGGCCAAAGCAGAGCTCGATGCACAGTTTGCCGAAGGCAAAACAAAAGCGGAAGGCGACGGTCGCAGCAAGGGTGGCGAATGGGTTGAGTGGTTTTCTGTGGCTCGCTTCTTTTTTCAGGGCTGCCTTTTCTTGCTGGTGCTCAGCAGGGAATGAGGGAATCACCCCTGTCAACAATCCGCTTGGCTTCCTTTGACGGAATGCCTAGGTTCCTTCCCAACACCCGGACTCGGTCACTCCCTGCCTGTCGCACCAGCAATATTTTTCAGGTACCGTAGCACGGGGCCACTCAAAAGCACCGACACTCGCTCGAAGCCGTGGCTCGAACCCCGTGAGAAAGACATGAGACCATGGTGAAATTGGAAAGCTCCGCGGGTTGAAATGAAGGTGCCACTCATCAGGTTGGCCCACTTGGGATGGTCTTAAAATGGAGAGGACCATTTTTGGATGGGTTTTCGCCTTTTGGTCCCCTTTACCAAGCAAAACAGGGCGCCCTCAAAAAACAGGAAACTCCCATACCTCGGTTGGACCCTGTGGCACGACGACTTGACGGCCGATGAGCCGATCGCCGCGGCGCATCAGAGGGAAGAGGCTGGCGGGTCTCGATTCGGTGATTTCATGCGTGCCCTTCGTAGCTTTGAAAGGGTCGAAATCTGGTCAAAGTTGATTGAAATGATGTCCCTTTCTGTCCTCAGTTTGGTTGAGCACAGAAGGATTCCACTGGTTTCAGTTGGGTTCCGTCATTTGCCAGTGCCATCTGTTGCCCAAAAGAACATCCAAGTCGGTGATGCTCGAACTCATGTGGACAGGCCTCTTTGAGACATTCCAAGAGCAACGCCGTATTTCTTTCTCCGAAGCCCTACCCAACTCATATCCATGCTTATAACCCGCTTCCTAAGTTGGTTGAACATCCAAGTAGTGTTCACTGGAAATCGAAACGGAACCATTGGTAGCGCAGGGCTCAAGGCGCCTTCATGGGGCCTCAAACCGGTCGCTCAGTCGCAAATCAAACCCCAGAACGTGAGCTCCCGACTGTTCATTCCAAACTTGAAAACATGACATCGAACCGGGCCTCGATTGGATAGGGCAGGTCGAACTGCATCCCCGGCAAGATTGGCCTTCCCAATGACAATGTCTGCTCTTCAGCACCTGGCTCCACAGCCTTTGGGAGCCCCCCAACCTTTTGGGGGGATTGCTTTCAAGTTCGAAACCAACACGTCTCCAGCTGGTTTGCTCTTTCAACTCCAGACCAAAACCATGGATGCCCCGGAATCGGAATCCACCAGCAGACCCCCCTTTCGGTTCTAGCGCCGCGCTTCGGGATGCCTCGGCCTCACGCAGGCCGGCCGCCAGCCTTTCGTTGCGCACGCTGGTCATCAACTTGGACCGCCGCAAAGACCGGTGGTCAGGCGAGTCATACGGCGTGAGGCAAACGTTGTTTTTTTTTCGCCCAGGGGCTTGAGGTCCAGGTCACCCGCAAAAGATTTGTCCAAAGGGGTCCCGGAATTTCCTTTTTTTTTGGGCCTCCAAAAGGGGCAACTGTCAAACCCAGCAGGAAATTGCCACTTCTGGAAGGGACATGTTCTTCAGCAAGATCGCGACTTTCTGCAGCCCGACTCGTTTGCCCAGTGAGTGTGGCTTATGGTTTCTCATGCATCTTTTCACGCAATCCACAAAACGAAGACCCAACAAGCATAAGTTTCACCACCAACCCGTAGACAGTACTATAGACTACACCACTTAAGGGAATTGAGCACCCCAGGTGAATTGAAAGGGGAAATGAAAGGCAACACATGCCTAAACATGGCTGAAGTTTCAGATTCAAGCCTTTTTGCGGTTTGGTGAAGTCTGTGGGGGGACTCGACGGCCTCGGTCGATGGTTGGACATGCCTCAGAGCACTCTTAAAACAAGAGGCTCTGATGCAGGTGAGATCTGGTCGCGAGGGCGGCTTTCAACACGGAAGAGGTGTTTGAGGTTGGTGGTGTCCTCTTGGTTTTCATGCAAGCCGCAACACGAAAAGGGGTAACCCACAAGCACGAAGCCACCTGTGCGATACCTTTCCGGAACGGTCAACTGGGGAGGGGCTATATTTGGGCAGCCGTTGTTGGGAGCCGGCAGTGGAATGAAATTCCCAATGAACATCCGGGCAAGAAGGAATGAAGGCTAGGGCAGAGTTTCCGCCAGGTTTCCTTTGCGGTGTCAAATCCGCTTTGCATGTGCTTCGCTGCACTCAAAGTAAAGCTAAGTGCCATCTATATTTTACAAGGACAATCTTAGGCGGCTGCCGACAGACTTGAAGACTCTCAAGATCCATCTACCAAGTTTCATCTATTCTTCCAAAGGCACACCGAGTCCCTACTCAAAGTCTTTTGTTTTCTTCTTCTTTTTTAGGGGGGGGGTGTTGTTTCATACGCCCTTTCTCAGTCAGAAATACCGGTTACCAGTGAAACACAATGACATAGCCGGAACACAGATCACCAAAAGTTTGGGCAAAGATCGCGAGCACGGCTAAAGGACGTAGAGGAATTCTCAAAAGGACCCACTTTTTAGATGCTTGGCAGAGAATCGGGGAAGCCACGCATGTTAGCACCTCCATTGTTTGGGAAGTTGGGTTTAAAGTCAGGTAGCACACAATTGGTGGTTTGGATTGGTGGTTTGGGGGGTCGATGGCAAACCCCCTAACCAGCAGACCATCGGCTCCAAACCGCCGATTGGAGGGAATCTGAGTTCCAAAGTCGTTGCTTTGACCAACCGCGGACGTCCGCGGGATGCACCCGGGTTTTCTCCATCCACTTCGGGATCCCGCCTCTTTGTATCCATTTAACCCGAATCTCAGATTCCAAGACGCAGAGGCTCCAACTGAAGGACCTACAAACAGCTTTTGGGTTGTGGGTTCCGCTGACCTTTCAAAGTCGTATGCGGAGGTTCTATGACTAAATGAGGGAACCCTTACTTTGAAAGAGACACATGGGTACATTGGCAATGGGAACCCCAGTTTGTGAACAGATGTCCTCTTTTTGCCGCGGTTTATCATTTTTGCAGGGAACCCTTTTCTATCGATCCGCGGTCAAAATTGAGGAACCCTCAAAATGGATGGTTTGTTTTGTTCCCCACCCGACAGGAAGGGGTTGTTAGATTTTATGTTGGAATCCACGTTTGCGATGCTTTTACACCACGCCCCCGTTCCCGCCAGAGCAGCTCTCCAGTGGATCCCGCCAAGTATCCCGCCAGAGCAGCTCGCCAGTGGATCCTGCCGAGCAGAGCTGCTTGCCAGTGGATCCCGCCCAGTATCCCGCCAGAGCTGCTCGCCAGTGGATCGCCAGAGCGGCTCGCCAGTGGATCCCGCCGAGTATCCCGCCAGAGCGGCTTGCCAGTGGACGCCGAGTATCCCGTCAGAGCTGCTCGCCAGTGGATCCCGCCGAGAGCTGCTCGCCAGCGGATCCCGCCCAGTATCCCGCCAGAGCTGCTCGCCAGTGGATCCCGCCGAGTATCCCGCCAGAGCTGCTCGCCAGTGGATCCCGCCCAGTATCCCGCCAGAGCTGCTCGCCAGTGGATCCCGCCGAGTATCCTGCCGAGCGGCTCGGCAGTGGACCCCGCCGAGTATCCCGCCAAAGCGGCTCGCCAGCATCCCACCGAGTATCCCGCCAGAGCGGCTCGCCAGTGGATCCCGTCGAGTATCCTGCCAGAGCAGCTGGCCAGTGGATCCCGCCCAGTAAGAGCAGCCCGCCAGTGGATACCGCCGAGCGCTGAGTATCCCAGAGTAGCTCGCCAGTGGATCCCGCCGAGCATCCCGCCTGCCAGTGGATCCCGCCGAGAATCCCGCCGAGTATCCTACCAGCCCGCCAGTGGATCCCGCCGAGCATTCTGCTGAGTATCCCAGAGCAGCTCGCCAGTGGAAGTATTCCGCCAGAGTACCTCGCCAGTGGATCCCGCCGAGTATCCCACCAGAGCAGCAGAGTAGCTCGCCAGTGGCCCGCTGAGTATCCCTTGCCAGTGGGTCCTGCCGAGTACGGGGAAAGTATAGAGCTGGAGTGGCTCGCCAGCATTCGCCAGTGGATCCCGCCAGTGTCCCGCCAGAGCAGCTCGCCAGTCTGGTTTTGCTTAATGTCCCGCCCGGCGCACAGTTGGGTTTACATTTCATGTTGGTTCCTTCGTGTCTTGAGTGTGCCGTGAGGTGTTGCTTTGGGTTGTGAATAAGCAACTTCGTTTAATCCCCCGCCGGGTTTCTTTTTGGGAGGACCTTGCTTGTGTTAACGGAACTGATGTTTGAGTTCTCGAGATCGGCTCGCAGACAAGTGGAGCTTGACACACAGACCGGTGGATAAGGCCCCAAGCCACTTGAAAACCACGCTTGAATTCACACAACTGTGTTCACGGTCGTAAGCTCGTGAGTGTGGAGGGTGGGGGTTGCTCGAAGCGAAGTAATTTTTTTCTTTTGTACTGGGTACCCTCAAATTGTAAAGCTGGGTAAAAGTAGATAGCACAACTTCCGACATGTTGGTCACTCGTTACCCCGTTACGTACCCCAATGCAGCAAATGGTGCCATCTGCTTTCACCTTGCTGTAGAATTGGCAAAAGATGGTGTTCAAAGCCAGGGACATTTAAACAGTTACTAATCAATAGTTGACCACTATAATCAAGACTATTGGATTCCAAATACCTCATGACCCCATTCTCATTTTTTAAGCCCCTACCTTGGCCTTTTTTGTAGGGCTCCCTTTAACACCGCAAAACGGGTACCAACTCAGAAAAAGACGCATCCAACAAATAAAAGTGCTCCTTGTCCGATAGCCAAAAATGACAACCACTCACTTTGAAAAAAGAGACACCAGATGAACACCCCCCCCCCCCCCGCAAAAGCAAAGAACACCAGATGACACCACTCACTTTTGGGGGGTCCCCCCCCGAAAAAGAAAGACGCGCGACCCGGCGTCGGCCGAACGTCCGAACGTCCCTGGCCCTTCTTCAGGCCTTTGCGCGCGCCTGCGGGAGGTGAAACTCCTGGAGCCCGGAGAGGCGGAGCATGGCGGTGAGGGCGACCTCGCGGGGGGATGTCGGGGACTTTAGGAAGCCACACATAATATATATATATATATATACACTTCTGTGTATATATGTATATATGTATATATGTATATATGTATATATCCACATGTAGATGTGATACATTTACATATACATCTGTTATGTTAGACTTACATACACATGTAGATGATATATATATATATATATACACAACATTATATTCAAATGCAATTTTGGAGATCTCGAAATGCTCAAGACCTGGTGATTTTGAAGGGAATCATAAACAGACGCTTCTAGCTGAACATGGATTCTGGTCCCCTTTGAACCTATCAGTGGAATCCATCCACTATATTACTTCCAAAACAACACCGATTGAGGCTTGCCTAGGTAACCATAAGGAAGCATTATGCGAAATCTAGAAATTGCATACGGTTACTTACTTGCTACCAGGCAGCGGATGCCATATCTCACCAACCTGAATCAAGCAATACCTGGGACCTTCATGAAGATCCTTCCCTGCTATGGCTGGTTTTCTGCGAGGCTCCCAACCTTTTGGGCCCTTCCTTGAAGTGCCTGGGAGATCCGACATCCACACCATTCTCGGAAGGCCTGGGCCAAGTAGACCCGATGCTGCCAGTTGCTACCCTGTCGATCAATGATGTGACGGGTACAAGGCTTTCATGGGGAGCATCGAGCACGGCGATCGATTTACCGCCGATCCGATGACCAACGCGCCCACGTTTGAACAGCTTCAGAGCTCCGGCAGCTCCTCGAGCTCCAGCTCGCCCTGAAGTTGACACCTGGGCACCAGGTGCCGCTCCAAACAAAAGGCGCGAAAGCTACGCGGCGAAACGCAAAGCCATGCCACGGATGCAATCGAGAGTGATCCTGCAGTTGTGATGGACTTTGCGGCGAATCACAACATGCAGTTTGCAGAGTTGCCGGATGTTGAGCAGTTTCTTGCTGACAGCGGGGTGTTGCGAGTTGAGCATCAGTATCACATACATCCTACGTGTTTGTGTGTCACTTGAAGCACTTGCCCTGGCAAAGGGGAGAAGCGCTGTTTCATCAATATGAATGCGAGCTTCGTTCACTCTTCGGGGGGGGGGTTGGGGGGTGGGGGGAGGAGTCTTTGACAAGGAGGCGAGAACTATCAACTACCTGCTGGTTCTCCGCAGGGAATGACACCTGTAAAAACCATCTGAGGTTTCCTTTCAGGGAGCTAGCTTCCTTCCCCAAGCTTCAGTCACACCAAGCAAAGGGGGGGTGCCCGTTTTTCCCATCCCGTCCCTTTAGGTGGAGCTGAAGATTGAGCGTCTGCCAGCTACCGATGGTGTCTCGGAGGAGGCCCGGCCCAGACTGAAACGAGCCATTCCGAATGCCAAGATGATATTCCCTCGGCTTTCCTGATAATCGGTTTGAGAAGTATTCCAAGTTTCCCAGATCTGTTTTCACTGGAAAGGCTCCCGCTGTTGGATGATTCAGTCAATACAACCTAGGGGTTGGTACAAGGAGTTGAGATATGGATGTCGTTCGGCCTGTGCAAAGGCCGGTGGCAGCAACGTGTTGCAGCAACGAGGCAGTGCCCAGCCTCTTGCTGGTTCTCAGGGAATTGTTGGATGGTTGTGCGAATAGCCCTATCCCAGTCAGTTCCTCATTCCCTGCTGAACTTCTTCTTCACACGAGAATAACCTGGGAGACGGAGAACCTGGTCGCCAGGCTCCCATATTTTGGGGAAGCAAATATTTCCGCGGGGCTGTTCTCTTTTGTCGAAGCGTACATGATGGGTGTGTTGTTTCCATTGGGTTTCGCTTTTGATCAATGGGAAAAAAAAGAACGCGTACCTCATGTTTGGAGGCTCCCCTCTTCGTGGTTCAAAACGGTGTTTCTCATGCCAAAGGAGCCCGCCAGTTTCTTGGACGACGTTGGAACCTCAACTCGTGCCAATGGGTCGTGTCGGGCAAATGACCTTCTGGACCCTTTTTGATCCTCCATGGGTGGCAGGTCAGGGCAAACAAAGGGGGACGTCAAGCAAACAGAAACACATCTGGGCTGAAAACTGATTTGTCCCTTGTAGTCTTTTGGGTAAAGGTCCCATGTGAAGCTTTTATTTGTAGGCCCTTTGGGTTGGATTGGTTTGGAGCTTTCACCTTGGAGTTTGAAGCACCTGGGATTGTTGGGAAGTGACCCATGGTTCAAGAAAAGTTGCTTCTCCAGCACAGCCAAGACTTGGGGTGATGATTTGTAAGGGTTTCAGAGTGGCAAGCCTTGACAGGCGTAAACCCTAAATTTGTGCGACAGGTACCTCGCATCTAGCCCTTCAGTATGATTGCCTGCTCACAAGACCCTCATTTTTAAAGGGTGGACGTCTTGAGTGACAAAAGACTCCGGGTGGCTTTGCAGGCCCCCAACAGTTTTCTGTGAAAGCGCGAAACAAGTCTTGTCTGGAGGCGGCAGCGATTGAATTTAATCTGATTCGGATGAATTCAACCTCAACTGGTTGTTCGTCTTGCCAAACTTGATCTCATCAGATTCCACAAACACAGATGCAATTACGACATGTTATGACATCAACGGAAGTTATTATTTTATGCCAATTGACACCAGGGTCAAAGTAGATGGCGCAGTTTCTTTCATGCGAGGAAGTAAAGGGGATGATTGAACCAACATGGTGGAAATGACCATTTGCTTTAATCCAACTGCAGTCAAGCTGGATTGAGTTCACCTAGATCAAGTCGCATCGGTTGGATTGCTGACTCGCCGTAGGTCCCTGTGTCTGCAGCCGGCCCCTCAGAGACGCAGATTGTTTATTTTTTTGGGGGGCAGAGTACTTGGCGAGGGCTTCGAAGCTATGGTTCCAACCCACCACTAGGTTCCCCAGTAGTGCCCTGTTACCCTTTGGGGAGGGTTCCCCTACTAAAATAAACCACAGGAAAAAAAGTTGGTACCCTTATTCTAACCTCTCAAATCTGGAGGACCTAGACCAAAGGGATGGGTTTTTTCACGTCCCCGCGCCCAGCGAAGGCTTCAAGTCGTGGATTGGTTAGGTGATCCGGCCCTCCGACTACTCTAGAAAAAAAAACGGTGAACCTCACCCGCGCCCCCAAACCACACCGAGTCACAAGGAGCGCAAGGCTGGACCTGGGTGCGTCTGTTTGATGCCCCTCAAGTACAGGGATTGAGGGGGGTGGGGGGGCGAAGTTGTAGCATGTACTTGTACTTTTGCCTGCACCAGGTCGCCCGAGAATTTTTAGAAGAAATGGGTCAGACTTGCACTGTCTTGGACACATGGGATGCATTCAACTGGTTAATTTTCAAAGGAAAGCCGAGATCAGAATCCATATCTCAAACTGAAGCCAGAACGGACATGGTCGTTTCCCGCTTCCCATACTTGCGTGCAACCCCCACCACTTCTGAAGACTTTGTCCTAAAGCTTTCTGCGTGGAAATGAGGTGGGCCTGTCTTGGGACACCACCCGCAACGCCAAGTACGACGGTCGGTCAGGATCGAGAGTTGCACCAATGGGCATAGGGGAGAGTCCCCTTGACACCAAAAAGGTGCGGAGATCCTCCCTTTGATTCTTCACATTGTTTCGGTTTGGCTACTTCATGACGTTTTGATATTGGCTCAAAGGGTGGAAATGAAATCCAGTCGGCCCAAGGTAGTTTGCCAAACCCCGAACATACACTGAAAGAACCCAGAAGTACAGAAGTAATGCCTCCACGTCCTGATTGAATTCATCTTTACAGGGCCTAGCATGGTCGTCGCCGCTCACGTAAGGAAAGCTAAAGGTCATGACCAATTGGTCTTTTCTCAAAGGCCAAATTGACCCTTGTCAATGAGCCCTCGTGACATATCCCCCATATAGCACCAAAAGGGTACTTTCACTGCTTGTTTGCCTTGATTGTTGAAGACATTTTGGATGGTGGGTAGGTTGAACATACCGCGGGAATCTATTTTGTGGGGTTGCCCAGGTAAAATTGAACAGGATAGCGTGTGAAAACGAGCGGACCCCACTGTCCACAAGTCTCGTTTCGAGACAAAGGTTCGGTTAGCTTTCCGGCTTGCTTGGCAGGATCGAGCCTGGGTTTACGTAGCCTGTGGATTGACGAAGTGTTTCTCCGGTGGCCGGCCCCTTGAAATCTAAACGCTGCGACGTCCGCCAAACGCGTGGATCGAGTTGTCCAGGAAATTGCCGTCTTTTGAAAGCCGGGTGTTCCAAGTCAGGGTTGCTCCTTCCGTTGATAGAAGCCCGGTGTAAACCCTACCAGTGCCAGCGTTTTCGGAACAATCCTGTAAGTATACCTTCTTCTTTTTTTGCCTGTAAATATGATCCCCCTTTTTTCTGAGAGGCCCTCCCCCCAAATGGCCGTTTGCCCAATTTGGGTCGTGGTGATGCTGGTGATGGACGCTGGTGATGCACATTGGGCAATGCTGCTGATCTGGGCCACACAGCCTCCGGAATCAATTCTATGGGAAATCAGGCGAATCGAACAATGAGTAAGCAGAGAGAGGATGGAATATATATATATATATGATACATACATACATACATACATACATACATACATACATACATACATACATACATACATACATACATACATACATACATACATACATACATACATACATACATACATACATACATACATACATACATACATACATACATACATACATATATTTATATATACATATTTATGTATAATATTTACATATCTACACATACGGGATATAGTATGATATGAGGTGATATGATATGATCTGACATGATATAATACAATACAATACAATATAATTGGATACACTATATAGAATGATATATGATATGATATGTAGATCCATCAGTACGATACATTTGCAACCAGCTTTTTGCCTGGCCCTCTGGTTGCCGTATGCTTCGCCATTTGTGCCTTCTCGCAACGCGTTTGAACCTCGTACCACGTAGGCAACTTGAGCTTGCACTTTGCCGGCTTTGGCATGGGCACTGAAATGGATGTGGCGGAACCCCCCCCTTGGCATTTTCCAACAAGGGCTGCACCGTTGCACCATGTTGTTTCTCTCCTTTCTTGGTGTGTGTGTTTCTGGGGGGGACTCCCCTTTTGGGGTGGTTTTGGAAAGGGGACAGCAACAACGCCGAGATGTCCAGTTTGGGTGTGCAACATCTCCGATTCTTGGCCGAAACGCTGGAGCCCGGGCTTCGCCTCGGAGTCGTGGCGAGGATACTGCGGCGGCGTGGAGCTGCGAATGACGCCGGGGGAGCGAGGAGCGGAGCGGAGCGGAGCGGAGCGTGGGGGGAGGGGCAGAGCTTGGCGCGGATTCCTATCGGTTACGAGGATTCATAGGGTGCCCCCGAGATTTCTCTTAGATGGTGGTTTGAACCATCATGCTTTGGGCCCCTCTGTCTTGGTCATGATACAGATGTTTTAATAGATGGACTTCTTTGTAGGTGTTTGAACTATACTATGGTTTACTGAAACCTTGGTTAGCTGCTATAGTGGCTCTTTGTTTCTCAGAATGGACCCTTTTCAGGTTGAGCGGAAGCCAAGGGTAGAACCATCATTGAGACAGGGCTATAGTGGCTCTTTGTTTCTCAGAATGGACCCTTTTCAGGCCAAGGAGCTGTCACTAGGCCCAACATGAAGCCCACGGGGTTACGAAGTTTGACGAGGTATCAGATTTACCTGGCCAGATGTAGGTATGGGTCAAAATTAAACCAATTGGAATTGGACCGCAGGTTAAATCGTCCATGTGTCTACTTACCAGGGTTCAATTTTGGGTACCTATTTTTGATCCACAGCCATGTGTCTCTAACAAATGTCTACCTTGCAAGTTGGTTGTTGCCTCTTCCCCTGCCAAAAGGTGGCTAGCTGACTTTGACGGTGAGAACGTGGTTTTGGAGTCTAGGCCAAATGAGTTTTGGTTGGTTTGGAAACCGAAGGGACCCCCTTGCCGCTTTGGGGGACCGATTTGGGTTTCTTGAGAACTCCCCCAATGCCCAATGGGGCCAAAGTGTTTGTTCAAAGCGAAGATTTGGAAGGGTTCTCACTTGATTGCTGTTGGGACCCGGCGGTTTCCCTTCAAACCTTTTTTCAGTGGTCCCGCAGTTGCCCACCCAGAAAGGCAGGGCCAATCGTGCCAATTGTACAGCCGTACTAAAACCCCAATGTGTATGCCAGAAGATTGAAGGATGCTGTGGGCCGCAGTTTCTGGGCATTGGCTTCCCTGTTCGCAAACGAGTTGTCAACGGTTTGGTTGGAGTGCCCCTGTTGCGGCGCAGTACTCGGTTAGGCACGATGGTTGTCAAGAGAGATGGTTGTAAGTCCTCCGTACGGGTTAGACGTTACAACCAGGATTCGCCACTGGCGAATTATCCCTAAGGCTTTTCCCTAAGGCTCACTCCAATGCAGATCCCACTTCGGAACCTCCTGAACCGGGAAACACTCAGCTTTGAGGCTCCAACAACTGGCTGGTGCGCAAACGAGACTTGGAATCACCTAAACCATCCAACTGGTTTCCTTTCTGGGAGCCTTGGGTTTCCCACAGTCCCCACCAGCAGCAAAACCCATCGAATCGGAGCACGCCTTCTGTGGGAGGCTGCGCCATGTCCCACGTGCGCGCCTGGCGCCTGGTGGCCGCCGCGTCCAGGCCGCGGCCCGCTTTGATGAACTTTGCATTTTGCCAAGGGAGGTGAGGACTTTCACTTTTTTTGCCCAATGGGTTTTCCGTATTAAACCACGAAACGTTAAACACTTTTAGCAGAGCAGAAAGCAACCGAGTCGAGTCAACACAATTCCCAGGAAGTGCTGTGTCTCGGATTGTAAGCCCATCCTGATGGGTGTGTGTGTGTGTGTTCCCCTCGAGTGATGCACAGAAGCAAGATGTGACTGGGAAATGCAGACCCCAATTGGCACACAGTATATACTGACTGTGGCTCATATAGACGTATCCTCAGGTCAACGGGAAACACTAGTTGATTGGGTACAAACCCAGAAAGGGCACCCTCAGAACATGACAATGACAGGGCGAAGGAGCGGGTTCAAGAATGCTATACCCCCTGGTCTTACTTCCACTGTTTTTTCGTGGGTATGTCAACTGAAAATGAACGCGCAATTTATTGTGGGACACCTGGTTCTTCACAAATTGCGCTCTGAACACAGCTGGAGGGGGCAAGCAGTGGTTGAAGCCAACCCTGAGGCGCAAGGGTTTTGGTTTCAGGAAAGGCCCTCCAGAACCACATCGATTAGCAAACCGGAGATATAAATCTCACTTCTCATATGGCCGAAGGGTTTAGGGGAGAAGCCAGAGATTGGTTCAACTCAAATCCGAAGGTAGGGGTTGCTATGGGTTGGTATGGGCCCCCAGAAAAAAAAGCAAACAATTCAATCCATGCGCCGATTCTTGCTGGTTCAACTCTCCTGGATGCAAACCAGCTCAAAAGAGCGGGGTCTCACCCAAGGAGTGTCAGGGCGGCTCAAAGAATCCGCCAGGCCAGTGCTGATCTTGGAGGACATTCGCCTCCATGAGCGATTGGGGTTCCAGTTGCAGTGTTGACCATGGAGCATGTGCCCCCGGCATAAACGGCACCAAGGGCTCGGTGAGCACTCTGACGGCTCTGTCGTGCTCCTGGGGATATGGATCATCGATTTAAACCTTGCAAGTTGGTGGCTTTTCTTGAGTTTCCCTTGGAGCAAGCGCCAAAAGGGCCAACAAGCAAGGAGACGTACACAAGTGTAATCCTTGGCTTGGTTCGTTTGGGATTTGAAGCCTTGTCTACTTCTTCTGGCAGCGTTGACACCCCAACGCCTCCAATGGGGCACCGAACCGCCAAGTGGAGGTGAGGTGAAAGCGGAATCCAGATCACTTAAGAAGATCAAGCTCCCCATTTGCCACTACCTTCAGCTATTTTTCTATTTTGGTGGGTTCAAGACGGATTCCAAAGCAAAACCAGGGAACCCAAACCAGACGCTTCTATTGCCCCAGATTTCCCAGGGCATGGCAGGGGTTGACATAACTCCCCATGAACTTGAAAAGCGCACTCATGAGGTTCATCCCTGGACCAATAACCCCAGCAAACCATTTGTGGCTGGCAACATAGGTTCAAGCGCTGTGGCCGGGCCGGATTTCTCGGCGTGCCGAAGTGGAGAAGGTGTGTTTTTCAATGACCGGAGACCGGAGGCAGGAGCAAACAAGGGAACAAACAAGGGATTCCCCACCCAGCAGTGCCATGTTTCCGGACCAGTTTCGGTAGGCGAATCCTCCAAGTGACAAAGTCATATGCCCCCGCCTTGTTGTCACAAGCATCATGTCCGATGTGGTTTCGCAGGTGCAGTTGGGTGAAAGTAGATGGCACACTCCCCCCCCTTTGGTAACTTGTCATCCCCTTGCCCACATCTACCGGGACTGTGCCATCGAATTTCCAGTCCACCAATTCGAGGGGCTTTGTGGGTACCGACACGACCCATCGCGGCTTGCCCCCCCCCCCCCCGCATGCAGGACGACGCCGTGTTGGGGAAGAGCTTTGCCAAGCGCGCCCCCGAGTTTCCGGGGCGCCGAAAGTGGGAAGAAAAGGGGGACGGTTGCCATTTGTTGGATTCCAGACCGGCTTTGCCCGCGTGCGGTCAACACATTTACAAAACTTGTAGGGATAATTATCACGAGGGAATTTGTCCAACTGCAGAGAGTTTGTACCCCCCGGACTGAATTCGGGTGTTTCTAGGTTTCGCATTTCAGCTTGGTGAACAACAAGGAAGCCACAAGGACCGGGGTCCATCCCCCCATTTGGGGGATCCCCCACATGCGCCCTTTGGTGTCCCTTGGGTGAAACATCAGCTCTTTGACAATTCGAAATGAGCTGTCGTGGGGTAATGTCGTTTGGTTGGACATAGAGCCCTGTGTTGTTGAATTGTGGAAGCTGTGCAGGGGTGCGCCACTGATTTCATTTGCTGTCGCGGGAGCATTGCGCGAGTCAACAAGTAAACAGAGCCAAGAACAAGGAAAACAATTACATGACTCCTCCTGAAAGCGGCGTTTAAGCCACTCAAAACTAGAACAAACGTGACTCCTCCACAAACTGATGCCGGCACAACAGAAACACAGCAAGAGAACGTGACCCTTCCACAACGCTATGTACAAACCAGCGAAGATGCGAACAAAGAAGACATGTGACCCTCAAAGACATTGCTTGCACGGCCCAAAAGGAACAAAGACCGCGCGTCACTCGTGACCCTAGAGAATCTTGGCAACCCAAAGTACAAAGAAAGGTGACCCCTCTCAAGGTGCTGTTCAACCTTTTTTGTGTGAGGGGGGCTTCCCTGCAACAATCCACATCCACCAACAGGGTGCCCTTTTCCCCGGTGGAAATGAATGTGAATAGCGGGGGAGCCATCGAAGCTACGTGATTAAGGGCCATACCTGGTGAGTGTTTTTGTCGAGGCTCGGTGCCCTCAGGTTGGTGAAAGGAAAGCCAAAACGATCACCGAAAAGGATTTTGGGTATGTGTCAGTGAGCCCCCCACCCCGTGATTTTCCCCTCCCCCAAAAAGCTTTATCAGCCCGGAACCTGAACTAACCATTTACAAATGGCGGTTTCCCAAACTGCCATTTTCCATCAGGTTTATTCCTAAGAAACGGTTGTTCGGGACACCGCTATGTGCAAATGGTGGTTTCATAAAATAATTTGGCAGAAACACATCTGTTTGTTTTGGGGCAACCGAGTTCAGGTCGCTTCCATTTGCTTGCAATGAATATCTTGTATTTCCCCTGTTGGTTTTAAAAATGGAATCCATTTCACTACTGGACATATTTTTGTTGCCATTTTTTCCCAGGGGGCGAAACATCGCACATGGAGTTCTTGTTGACCTGCGCCCTTCCAGGGGGCGGAAAAACAAAAAACACCTGGAAGGTAGGACCCCTTCCTCCTCAAAGGGCCGCGTGGTCCCCACGCAGCGAGCCCCGCCCAGCGCCAGCGAGCGAGCCAGGCGCCTCAAGGTGAAGCTGCGGGAGGCGGAGGCGCTGGAGGCGGAGGCGCTGTACCTGGGCCACATCAACGGAGCGCCGTGGAGGCGGGGTATGGGTCGTGGGGGCGGGGGGGCGGGGGGTTGTTGGGAGGGTTCCCCTACTAAAATAGACAGACAAAAGTTGGTACCCTTATTCCAACCTCTCAAATCTGGAGGACCTAGTTGGAGGCTGGTCCAAACCAGCGCTCCAAGACCCAAACCGTCGGGGTTAAGGAGCCGCTTTCTTAGAGCTTGCCGGTTTGGCAGGGGCGAATTTTTGGTTTTTGTGGGGCCCGGGTGGGGGGGGGAGCTTGCAAGGTAGAACGACTACGTTCCATTGATGCATTACTGTCCATAATCAGTGCAGATGGAAGGCCAGCTTCTTACACTCGCATAAGGTTTGTGTCTTGCTGTCAAAGTCAAAGCTAGCGCTTTACCGATCTTTGGATCCAAGTCAGAGGTTGCCTTCGCTTCAGAAGGCAGTTTTTGGGTGGCCGTAGCAGTTGAGCCGAAAGTGCGCAGACGTCAGAAATCTTCGGACGCATTCGGCGATGACCGGGGGGTCCCAGGCAGAAGAAGAGGCCTGGGCTCTATGAGGCGGAGTACCTTTGGACGTCCGGAACCCAATAAAACATGGAGTGAGGTCACATGGGCGCGGGAAATAGCCTGAGGCTGGTTTTCTGATGACCTTGGTTTCCTGCCCTCATTTTCTTCCTAAGCCGTCTGATGAATAGACCCCTGGTCGAGTGAACAATTTAAGGCTTGCCGGTTTGCTTCTCGCTAACGTTGGTAAATCAACTCCTTGGTTTGCGTTTCAATTGCAGGCGCCCCTGACCACAAATCTGCACCAATGTATGGTGAGCTCGCTCGACAAAACGAGCTCACTGGTCCCTTCAGGATTTCTCTAATTCAGAAGTTGGCCGTATAGTTCCCTTAGAAGTGGTTTGACACATCATTGTTTGGTCAACTTGAAGTGAGCTTTCTTGTGATGTGGTGACGCTCAAAGGTTAGAAATCCAACGAACCCTAAAGTTATGAGTTGCTCCGGGCAGATAAGTTGAATTGGAGGCAAATGCAACTTCCTTCTGCTTTTGTTTGGGGGGTATGAGTTCTTACAAAGGATGAGGTTTCCATACAAATATGTGTCTTGCGCAATGGAACAACCATTGTTGGGGTCCAACCTGAAAAAAAAGACAGCCAAATCAAGGATCAGGCTTGTGGGAACTTCATCCCCGGTTTTCTTTTGCAAGAGGCGAGGGATGGAAGGATGGGAGCCAGCCACTCAGGTTCCTACTCTTGAAATTCAGATCGATGCGGTCGTTCCAAGCTATCCTGTACAGTATGAGCCACGGCAAAACCGGTGCCATGGGGCTGCTGAGTGATCGATGGGTCACACACATGGAAGGTTTGACGTCACATACCCTCCCACCAAACCAGGACCGCCCTGTCAGGTTAAGGCGGTTTTGGTCATAACTTCATGACCACAGGGCATATCCATCACACATGTCTTCTCCCTCACTCGAAGGACTGTCGCCTACGTCCTTTGGCCCCATGGTGCGCAGAAGCTGGGCGCTGAGACGAGAGACCTGAGACTCGAAGCTGGGTTTGGTTCGACGTTGAAATACACTTTGTTGGCCAACCAGACTCGAAAGCGACTCGAAAGGTCTGATGAGCACCATGTCTGTTATGGTCAAAACACCCTATTGAGGGAACCACGACCATGACCCCACATTTGGAGAGATCTTTGACCACACAGGTGGTTAAATTCTTCAGGATGTCCAATGTACCCGCGCCGATCAGAACCATGTGGGCCGTTCCCCGGATACTCATTCACCAACAGCTATTTGGTAGGAGGCCACCGACCGGTCTGTGGTCCAAAGGTGACCAACTTGTTGAGGTTTGACGGGTTTCGAAGACGAAACCGCTGCATCCTTGGGCTTTAGCCGGCCGGGCATCGCTGGAGGCTTCTTGAGCTGCTGCCGGTGGACGAACCGGTGGACAACTTCTTGGGGTGGCAGATGGCGGAAAGGCGACTCATCAGGAGGGGTTCTCTCCAGGATTGTTCCCTGTCTGGGTTTCTGGAAAGAAACTGGCTTTCTTTTAAGTAACCACCGAACTCAAGAGGTTGGTGGACATAAACCCCCGAATTCTGATGTCCAGCAAAGGGTCCATCCTGAGCCGATTCTCAAGCAGGTTCCCGTGTTTTTACCAGTTTTGGTTCATCACAACCTGGCCGACAACCCTGCTCTCCTTCATGTACCCAATTTTGCGTCGTTCCTTTGTGAAAACCAGCCATTACCCCGTGGTTGTCTGGATCTACCGGTTAGGGGGTTTGCCCCATTGCGGCCTAGTCATTTCAGGTGGTGCAGGATTTGGTCCATCAGTACTTTCCAATCATGGAAGCGGACAATCGTAGGGCTTTGAAGACTACTTTCGTTTGGGGGGACCCTTTCCACTATGATCGGAAAGAGGTAGTCACGACTGACGGGCGCGTCCGAATCGGGGAGGCCTTGTGGGTTCACCTCTCTGGATCACGATGGACTTAAGTCGACTTTTTTTTAGGGCAGCTGACTGAAAAAGGAGTCGGTATTTGCCACGGAAGCCGCTTTTCCTTGTCAAAAGAACACTAACCGAAAGCGACGTGCTTGGATTTGGGGGTACGCCCAGCGGGTTCCACCCTGTTTTCCCGTTTCTTCCGCGCGGTTTCTTTTTGCACACGTTTCCTCTGCGCATCCGCGAAACCGCCACCGCAAAACGCCAAGGGCCGTTTTTTTCCGGCCGCAGATGCCGACGGACACCGGGGCTCGCCTCTCAGGCGGCTCTTCGCACTGGCAGTGGTCCCGGAACTCGTGACCCAGGACGGAGCCGGACGGAGCCGGAAGAATTCGGGTCGATAAATCCAAAGACACCGAGTCGACCTCCCAACATGCACAGCTGGTTGGCCAAGTACTAAGTACTCAACAGGTTTCTCCATGAGTCAGCGCCTGGCCAAAAAACGGGGGTATTTGCTGATATGCATTATGCAAATGAAGGTGGGGTTGTGGAGAACTGGGCTTCAGACGAAAGCTTTGCTGGTGGCCTGGGTTGACCTGTGGACTTGTCGCAGCTGGTCTTTTGAAATTGATTTCACCAGCGGCAGTCTTCGGTATTCGGAGCGCTTTGGGGTTAGCAAAATCGGCAGCCCGCAAAACCGATAGGGGACCACCCCAAAACCGAAACGGCGAAAACTATTGAAAGGACTTGTTCCGCTCATTTGGACACATGGGTGTGTCTCAAGCTTGGTTGAGGGCCCTCAAATGGGTGGTTTGCCGCATTGTTTGCCTTTCAATCATCCCGAAAAGGTTTCTCCGAAAAAGACAAACAAAAATGGCAAGCCCATTTGGGTGTGTCTTTCTTTGGTGGTACCCCGTTTTGTGGCGGTTTTTAGAGGAAAGCCAGAAGGAGAACCACCAGTTTGAGCCTGTACCCATGCGCTTTACGCGAAGGAGCTCGAGTGGGATGAGGCCTCGGATGTGCGGCATTCAGATGACGCGGTCTTGGAAAAGGGGCGCCCAGGGACGACGTGGCTGGGGTGACGCAGGTTTCAGCACGGGAAGGCGGAAGGCCATGTCGGTGCATCCATTTGATGGAGCCAGAGCCATACTCCAAGGCCCAGAAGGTTTTGAGCCGCTTTTGCCGGCGTTTCGGGCTTTTACCTCATGTTCCCAAAGGCTTTCCGCGCGCAATGGAACATAGGCTGGGGTCCTAGGGCTCCGAAAACGTGGTCTTGAGTCGGTTCCGAGCAGAGGGGTCGGGCTGGACGTAGCTCCAAGGATTTGTTTGATGTCCACCAAGAAGTCCAACCAGTGAAAAGTAAACCCCATGAGTTGAGGGTCCATACATTCGCCATGGAAACATACTTTTCCACCCCCAAACTGGGACCTCCGTTTTGGCATTATTTGCCTTCTGGGCCAAAAAGACAGGTTTGGGGATGTTTGGGGTCGGAAAACAGGGTTCCCCATTCGTCATTCTTACGCGCTCCCCTGTGGACTACCCCTTCCTGCAATTGCCCTGCGCTGTTCAAGTCAGCCCAGCAACGGTACGTATCCCTACTGTTTTGGGTACTGTGGATGGCCCAGAGCTCGCACTAGCGGGTAGGTGGTCTATTCCAGGTATACAAATGAGCTTCATCCACTGCAGGAGTTTGCGGATGGGACAACATCGTAACCCCCCCCCTTGTTGGCGCCTCCCACGCAGAACATGCGGCCGACTCCCAATTTGGCGGGGAGTGTTTGGCTTGGACGGTGGGAGTTGTCAACCCTTTGAACAAGTGGTTGCTATGAGCAGTGTTTTCTTCTGGACATACCCTAAAACAGGGGGAATTGGAGCAGGTATGTGTGTTGCGATTATCGCAACGGCGACGGGTGAACCTAGGCCTTCGCAAACGGCAAACCTGGCAACCAAAAGGTGATGCTAAAGTCCCCCAGGTTGTTTTAAATGGACACCAGAATCAAAGCAGCCATGGTTGGGATCCGAGTCCCTGTTTTGACATACCCCTAGGTGTTCTGGAAGATACATCACAGACACCGCTGCAGGCAGTCTACAGGAAACTGGCCAAGCACACACGTCTAGATGTTTTCTTCCAGGAAAAAACACCAAGGGAATGATAGGGAATGTGTGATTTTTCCCACTCCAAGCCCGAAGCCCAGTCGTTGTGTTTAAGGTGAAGACTGCCGCGCATTCGTCCGGACATTTTGCTCAGATGCATGGCCAAAACATGCTTCATGGTTCTCTTGTGTTTATTTGCTTGTTTTTCGGCTTAAGGTTGTGCTTGTCATTGACGGAATCTTGGACGCTACCTGTTCAACTTTCGGGGCTAGCGAGCGAAGACCGTAAAAGTCATCAATTCTGCGGAATTCAGTTGCAACACTGGTCTGATTGGGGACCGGGCGCCAAAGACATTTGGAGCCCGAATGCATGGCGCCGTGGGGTTTTTGGGGGCGCCATGAATCGGTGGGGTGCTCAGAACGCCCGAGGGTCTCCATGGTGAAGTAAGGGACCACGGCCAGTTTGGGGTGTTTTTCCTTTTGGTGTGGTGCGCAAAACGGAGTACCCCAAAACAAGGCATACCCGGATGGCACTTTATGATGAATCAACACCAAACCTACACTCGCGCCATCGGTTTTGCAACCAAACTGAAACCAAGAAGGCCCTCAATGCTTGCAGCCGTGGTCTGCATTAGGCCGCAGGCCGGCTTGCTTGGTGCCCCCAAGAAAGACTTTGCCCACAGAGAGCTCAAGTGATATTTGGCAGGTGAACGATGACGTTGATGCTCAAAGGGACATTCCTTGATTTGGTCTGTGATGTGCAACTGGAAGAAGTTGGGACCTTGGTTCCCCTAGCACCAAACAAGGCCGTTCCCATCGATGAGTTTGGCACTGATTGAGTGGCTTTTGCCCCAGCTGAAAGTGGATGGCAGAGTTCCGGCAAGGCAAATGTGCGTAGGTACCGGGTATGACTCAGCAATGGGAACTTGGTGGTTCCCTGCCGATCCTTTAGGTTTTTAGGTGTTCGGGTTTAGTGGGACTTGGATTTGACCCACTGCAAGTTCAACATTTAGCAGGGGAGCTGAGGACAAATTGTGCGATCATCTTTCACCAACTGTAGCTGGTGGGACCCATTGGTGGACATCCTTAGGCTTGGATTTGTGTCTGCCAACCTTGGAGAGTCGTCCAACCGCTACATGCCATAACACGCAACTTGTTGACTTCCCTTCAAACACTGGATGCCATCCAGGGGTCTCTTGGGGGGTGTTGGACGCACAGTCAGTTTTGCCCACTTGTTTAGAGCATGATTTGGCAACTCCTGACTACTGTATTTACGATGGGAAGCCTGGTTTGAGCAAATTTCTTAAAGGCGCGGGCAATTGGAGTAGGGTGTTGGTTTCCGTTCAAACACCATCCCATAAGGGGTCCAAGAATGCGCAGGGTGCTCTAGTGCGCAAACGCCGAACCGGACGACTACCACTACAGGTGACCATTTTTTCAGAACTAGCTGCATGATGGTTTTCTTTGGTTGGATCCGAAACGCCACAAGGAACAGGGCAATTTTATACCAATGGAATATCTAACGGGAACTGGGAGCTCAGTGAATCCAAGGCAAGGGTAAGGAAACCCTTTGGGTGGCTCGGTCGTCTTTTTTAGGAGTTCGGTGGCCCGTTTTTGGTGGGCTTGATTAGAAATACATGGCTTGATTAGAAATAAATGGGTTTTCTTGAAATTTACCAGGGACATCTATTTTTCCAAAAGGACACCTATATTTGTGGGTGTAAATTGGGACACCAAGAGGAATACCGAAATCCATGTTGGGCGGTCCACATCCAAAAAAAGACGAACCACATGTGGGTGTGTCTCAAAATGAGGGCCCCAAGACTAGTTGGTTTCCTTTTGGTTTCCCTAAACCACTTCAAAAAGGGTACCCTAACAGGGCTCCTTAACAAAGACACCCCCCATATCTTGATATCTTGGTTGCCTCAGCAATTACAAAAAAGGAATCAGGTTTCTAGCGGGCAAGCACTAGGCTTGACAAGGAGGTGGTGCACGACATTTGCACCAACCAAGTAGTGGTCACCCTTCAGGCCAGGCGCCGGGCGCTGGGCGGGCCCGCTTGACAGAAATGGAGGGCTAGAGGGGTCGATTTTTTTTGTGCTGGGGGGGGGGGGGTAAGGGTGTGAAACAGGGGCCTCCATTTTGATTATTTGGTCAGCTCCATTTTCGAGATGATTTTGTGAATCCCTCCCCTTTTTGGCGATGACTTGGTCAGCCCACTTCTCGAGATGATTTGGCCCCCCTCTTCGAAGATTATTGCGTCCCCCCTCCTCCCCGCACACACTTTTGGATGACTTTGTCAGCTCCACGACTATTTTGTCATCTTGGCCTTTCTGAGATGTTTTGCTCGACTCTTGGAGGTAATTTGCATCTCCCCTTTTCGAGATGCCACAAGCATAGTCGCTGGGCAAGCAATGCTATGCAAGCATGACCACCCTGTTTTGCAAAGGATTCTTCGCTACGCTTTGATTATGCGACCACGCTCAAACATGCTGGAATATTTGGAGGTATTTTGGCAATTGGTCGCGTTGTGCAGAGCCGGACAAGCGATCACCCCGACCCCACTCCTGCAGAGCCGGCCAAGCCCCCCCACTCCAATTACCCATTTTTTCAGGTATATTTTGAAATGGTAAAATACCTCTGTATTTTGGGTCGGGTCTGATACTTGACACACCCTACTCCTAAATGGGTTGTAATGTTGACCCCAGATTAATAAATCCTGGAATAATAGGGGGATCGGGGTCCCCTTGTAATGGGGATTCAGATGACTTTTGGAGGGAACATCGCCCCAAAAAAAGGACAAGTTCTACTTAGATCCAGTCAACATCAGGGTGTTCCCCTTCCAAAAGTGACGATTCCCCACTCCCAGGGACACCCCCTATTTATACACTGAGGTTGATTGATTTCGGGGCCAAAGGAAACTTTTTCTGCGCGGTCAATAATAGCCCCAGCCCCACATCCATGGTTACCCACTCAAGTCGCTTTCACATGAAAACCCAGTGTGCCATGGTTACCCACTCAAGTCGCTTGAACATGAACATGCAGTGTGCTTTTTCTTTTCTGCAAACTTCCTGTTGAACGGTTGAAATGCCTGTCCCTCTTTTGGTTTTTCTCGGAAAACCTCCTGTAGAACGGTTGGTAGTTAAAAATAAGGCAGATCCAAAAGGAAGAATGGGTGTGCCACGTTCTTTTCCGGAACTGCTCCTGTTGAACGGTTGGTATTTGAAAAAGAAGGCCCCACATCCATGGTTGCCCTCTCAAGTCGCTTGAACATCCAAAATGCAGTGTACCATGGTTACCCATGAACATCCAAAATGCAGTGTCCCTCTTTTTTTGTTGTAAAACCTTCTGTTGAACGGCTGCCACGGAAGTCGGTTGTACATCCAAAATGCAGTGTTTGCCTTTTGTTCTTCCCGAAAACCTTCTGTTGGTTTGGTATGACAAAAAAAGAAGGCAGACCCAAAAGGAAGGAAGGCAAATCGCCAGCATCCAAACTGCAGTGTCCTTTTCTGTCCCGGAAAACCGCCTGTTGTGTTTTAAAAAAACAGAAAGAGGAAGGCAGATTGACAACTGGTTGGTTTCATTTTTTTTTCGGAAGCTCCTGTTGGTTTGGTACTTCAAAACAGAAGGCAGATCCCCGAGCCGGAGGCCCAAAAATCGAAGCGCCAGGCCTGCGTCAAGGAGCTGGTGGAGAACGCCCTGGACGCGTCCGCCCGGCGCATCGAGGTGCGGCTCCGGGAGAACGGCGCGGAGCTGCTGGAGGCGGCGGTCGGTTTTGGGCGGTTTGGGCGGTTTGGGCGATGGTTTGGCGGGGGAGGAGAACCCGGGTGGTTTCTTTGGCCCCCGATTTGTTTCTCCCCACCCGACAGGAAGGGGTTGTTAGATTTTATGTTGGAATCCGCGTTTGCGATGCTTCTACACCACGCCCCCACCCAGTATGCCGCCAGAGCGGCTCGCCAGTGGATCCCGCCGAGTATCCCGCCAGAGCTGAGCAGCTCGCCAGTGGATCCCGCTGAGTATCCCGCCAGAGCAGCTCGCCAGTGGATCCCGCCGTGTCCCGCCAGAGCCGCCGAGTATCCCGCCAGAGCGCCTCGTTAGCGTATCCCGCCGAGTATCCCGCCAGAGCAGCTCGCCAGTGCCGAGTATCCCGCTGAGTATCCCTTGCTGGTGGATTCTGCCGAGCATCCGCCGGGGCGGCCCGCGAGTACTCGCCAGTGGATCCCGCCAGTATCCCGCCAGAGCAGCTCGCCAGTCTGGTTTTGCTTAATGTCCCACCCGGCGCACAGTTGGGTTTACATTTCATGTTGGCGCCTTCGTGTTTTGAGTGTACCCTGAGGCTCGGTGCTTTGGGTTGTGAATAAGCAACTTCGTTTAATAAGCAACTTCGTTTAATCCCCCGTCGGGTTTCTTTTTGGAAGGGCTTGGCTTTTGTTAACGGAACCGATTTTTGAGTTCTCAAAATCGGCTTGCAGACAAGTGGAGTTTGACACACAGACAGGTGACTCTCAATGCAAAGCCTGTTGAGAAGTCATAGACCCCAAGCCGCTCGAAAACCATGTGAATTCACACAACCGTGTTCACGGTCGTAAGCTCGTGCGTGTGGAGGGCGGGGATTGCTCGAAGCGAAGTAATTTTTTTAGAGTGTGAAATTTGGAAGGGGGGGTCAGTTTCTGGGGTTTGTGTGTGTGTGTGCGTTTTTTAAATGAACCCAGGGGTCAGGGTCAGTTTCTGGGGTGAGCTGTTTGCTTCCAAACAGGTTATGAAATCCGGGGGTGTCCATTTTTACATTTTATGAAACTCGGGGGTGACCATTTCTGGGTGAAATGTGGTTGGACATCATGACGTTTGTTGGTACTTACAAAGGGAATCATCATTCCGTTGGACACACGTAGACACACGTAGACACATGTCACATGTAGACACACACATAAACACACGGAGACATGGAGAGACACACGCACACAGACACACGTAGACAGGCGGAGACACGGAGAGACATACACACACGGACGCACGAAGACACACGGAGACACGGAGAGACACACACACACGTAGACACACGTAGACACACGGAGACACGGAGAGACATACACACACAGACGCACGAAGACACACGGAGACACGGAGAGACACACACACAAACACGTAGACACACGTAGACACACACGTATACACACGGAGACACACGGAGACACGGAGAGACACACACACACAGACACACGTAGACAGACGGAAACAAGGAGAGACATACACACACACAGACACACGAGGACATGCGGAGACACGGAGAGACACACACACACACATGTAGACACACGTAGACACACGGAGACACGGAGAGACATACACACACAGACACACGAAGACAACCGGAGAGACACACACACACACACGTAGACACACGGAGACACGGAGAGACATACACACACACAGACACACGAAGACACACGGAGACACGGAGAGACACACACACACGAAGACACACGGAGACACGGAGAGACATACACACACAGACGCACGAAGACACGGAGACACGGAGAGACATACACACACACAGACACACGAAGACACACGGAGACACGGAGAGACACACACAAACACGTAGACACACGTAGACACACGTAGACGCACCAGACACGGAGAGACACAGACACACACACGTAGACACACGTAGACACAGGGAGACACGGAGAGACACACACACAAAGACTGAAGAAGACACACGGAGACACGGAGAGACACACACACACACACGTAGACAGACGTAGACACACGGAGACATGGAGAGACATACACACACAGACACACGAAGACACACAGAGACACGGAGAGACACACACACACACGTAGACACACGTAGACACACGGAGACACGGAGAGACATACACACACAGACACACGAAGACACACGGAGACACGGAGACACACACACTCACGTAGACACACGTAGACACACGGAGCCACGGAGAGACATACACACACAGACGCACGAAGACACACGCTCACACGGAGACACAGAGAGACACACCCACACGTAGACACACGGAGACACGGAGAGACATACACACACAGACACACGAAGACACACGGAAACACGGAGAGACACACATACACAGACACACGAAGACACACGGAGACACGGAGAGACATACACACACACAGACACACGAAGACACACGGAGACACGGAGAGACATACACACACACACACGTAGACACACGGAGGCACAGGGAGTCACGGAGAGACACACACACACAGACACACGAAGACACACGGAGACACAGAGAGACATACACACACAGACGCACCAAGACACACGAAAAAACACGGAGAGATATACACACACAGAGGCGCGAAGACACACGGAGACACGGAGAGACATACAAACACAGACACACTAAGACACACGGAGACACGGAGAGGCATACACACAGACACACGAAGACACACGGAGACACGGAGAGACATACACACACACAGACGCACGAAGACACACGGAGACACGGAGAGACATACACACACAGACACACGAAGACACACGGAGACACGGAGAGACATACACACACACAGACACACGAAGACACACGGAGACACGCAGACACACACACACACAGACACACGAAGACACACGGAGACACGGAGAGGCATACACACAGACACACGAAGACACACGGAGACGCGGAGAGACATACACACACAGACACACGAAGACACACGGAGACACGGAGAGACATACACACACAGACACACAAAGACACACGGAGACACGGAGAACATACACGCACAGACACACGAAGACACACGGAGACACGAAAGACACACACACACAGACACGGGAAGACACACGGAGAGACACACACTCACACTCACACACACACACACACTCACACACACACACACGTAGACACACGGAGACACGGAGAGACATACACACAAAGACACACGGAGACACGGAGAACACACACACACACACGGACGGCCCTTTCAGGTGGTGGATGATGGGCGAGGGATTTGCGCCGAAGACTTCGAGAAGGCGCGTGAGAGGGTTGCGAGCACGGTGAAAACTGTAGTTTAGGGCTTGGGAGCCTGGAAAAAATGAACTAGAGCGGCTTGGTGCAAGAGAAGTTGCAACTTTCTGGATCATCTTGGTGTTAGGACCAATTGTTTGTGCTGCCAAGGCAATCTCCTGGCAATCTCCTGGCAGAATTCCCACACTATCACAGAATGGCTATGTGCCAAGCGTGCATGCGAATCAGCCGGCTGGGCGTTTCCGTTTGGGCATTACGTTGGGGTGTTCCCTCGGCCTTCCAAACTATGGTTTCAGAAAATTGGAGGGGGTCCTACCAGAACTCTGTGCCAACCTGCATGTTCAACCTGCTTCAAGTCAGCCAAGTCAACCAGCTCTGTTTTACTTGGCCCTGTGGTTTTGGCCTAGGCTGAACATCCAAGAAGGTCTTTGGAGCACTTCCTCGAGTGAAGATGTACCCCCAGGATGGGGTCCGAATGCATTTGTCAAAAGCCACCTTTGGAGCCGATGCGTGAGCCGCGTGGCTTTGGAGCCTTTCGTTCTGCAGATTGAGCAGGACCCATGGGGCAGTCATACAAGATTGTTTTTGGGGAGGGAAACGATTTCCACTTCGGACTTCCAGGTTTTGGAGGGCGCGCGAGCTGCGCGCGAGCTGCGCGCGAGCTGCGCGCGAGCTGCGCGCAAGCTGCGCGAGCGCGCATGCGCAGGTTGCATGCAGGCATGCCACCTCCAAAATCCGGGAATACACCGACCTGAGCCGGAGCCCTAGACCCCTGGGTATGGGGTGTGACATTCTCTCTGCTCCATTTTTTTTTGCAACTGGTTGAGCCCCGTGTTTAAAGGGAAGCTACAAGAAAAACCAACCATTTTAGGGTCCTATATACCCACATTGTTTTTCTGTTCTTACAGCATGCGTCCATAGTCAATGCCACCTTTCTGCAGGGGGTGACACAATATCCTGGAAACGGCGGACATATTGACATTCGACGACCATCATCTCGGCACTGGGTGGGTTCTTAGAACAAGGGAGACCAGCCCCCATTATCCCCAAATAAACAGCCTGAACAGCACAAAGCAGGCTTCCATCGTAAATACATCTTGTTTGTCAGGCATACTATCCCCAAAACGGCAGGGGTATTTAGAGATGACGGGGGTTTTTAAAAGGGTTGCTCTTGTTTGCCTTCAGAAGTTGACCAAGCCTCCAACTAGGAAGAAGGAGCGGGCAAAACCGCTTCCCATTGGCCATTTTAGGTGGTTCTACTAGCTTCACGAGGGTGGAGGGGCCCACGGAAACCAACGGTCAGCGGGTTCCGGGCGCTCGGATCAGTTGGATTGTATTTGTTTCCACTTTGCCGCCCTAGCGGGGAGCCCAGAGCAGTACTGCAGGCTGATCCCCTGGCTCTTTTCGTCCAGCGTTGCTACTCCAGATGCGCACAGAAGGTATGAGAATGTATGAGATCATCCCTAAACTAAAAGGGAGGTATTAACCGTGAGAAGCCTTTTTTTTTTAAGCATCTACTTCGCCCTTTTTTCCTAGCAAGGCCTACTGGAGTAGGGTGTAGAACCACACTAGTCCAATACTGATCCAGATCCATAGCAAGAGCCAATCGGACAACGGCCATGGTTCTCTAGTCACGAATTGTCACTAGGTATGGCCAATGGCTCTCGTTGTGACTGGGCTCATCAGAAGAATGTGAACCCGCTAAAGCAAGTTCGATTTGGCGGAGCCGTTCCTCAGCCCGAGGCTCCGCCAACTTCTCCACCTATGGCTTCAGAGGCGCGCGGACAGAGTTGTTGGTCTACCTGCTGGCCACAGGATATCAAAGGGGGTAGTTGAAATGAACTGGGCTTAACATGTACCAAGGGGTTGGTGAATGCCCCGAGAAATCCGCCACTGCAATTCCCCAGGTGATTGATTCCCCCCCAAGAAGAAGAAGAAGAAGAAGAAGAAGAAGAAGAAGAAGAAGAAGAAGAAGAAGAAGAAGAAGAAGACAAAACACGAAACACAAAACAAACACCCAAAACTGGCCTGACACCGGCTTCAACTCGGAAGTTTGGCCTTTGGCCCTTTACAGGCGAGGCGCTTTCTGCCATTTGCGCCATGGGGGACCTCACCATCGCCACCAAGACGGAGACCGCCGCGGCAGCTCTGGCGGGTTTGGTTGAGCCCTGCCTCGGTGGACGCCTTGTGGGGGGCAACCGCTGTGGAAGTGTACGTTGACATGGGACAAATGATTGGACCCCTGTGGCTTCGGTGGGGTGGGTGGGTGGGGGTGGGCAAAATCCACTTGAGCAGCGCCAGAAACCCTGACAATACAAAGTAGTAAAGGGGGGTGTCCTATAGAATCCCCGCGAAAGCCAAAACGCAGGCCGCGAAAGCTTGCGAAAGCTTATCGCGAAAGTAACCAAAGAAGGTCCCGCCGCGAAAGACCCGCGAAAGCCTGCATGCTGTGTGACGCTCCGCCGCGAAAGCGTCGCGAAAGCAATTCTAAAGAAGCCAAAGCCCGCGAAAGCAAAACATGGTTCGCGAAAGCATCGCGAAAGGGTCCGCGAAAGCAAGTTTATAGGACCGCTTTTTACACAAGAGTATTTGGCACGGCTCACTTGGTGGACAAATATGAAGCGCTCAAGGAGATAACTCACCTAAGTGCAGGTTTTTGTTTCTTTCTTTTTTTCCGGCAACCAAACTTGACAAGAAGAAAGGGTTCGGCCGAAGAGCCTAGCGTGAGACTGGCTTTCACGTCGCCCGAGGCGTCTCTCTTGTCTTACGCCCCGGCCTGAGTTCACCGAATTGGGTTGAACCGCGTGCCTCGCGCAGATGCGGGAAAGCCACGTGATGGGCTCCCCTGGTTATGGGTCAGGCAAGTTTGCAGTCTTCAAAGATGGGCTCCACTACCCCAGCAACGGTATGCAACTTCACATTGTTCCCATACCGTCCTGGTGAGATGAGGGTAGTGGACGCCCATCTTACCAAAACCTTCAAATGCCCTCCCCGGATTTCTTTTTTGTGGGGGGAGGTGTCTCAAAGCAAGTCCGCTTTCTTTTTGTGCCGCTGGTTGACATCATACCTTGGAATCACAGCCCCCTTTTTTTGGGCAGACGCTTTTTGTAGTGGTTGGTCCAAAGATCCATGATCCATTTCGGGTCAAGCCAAAAGAAAGGCGCCGGGCTCGCAGCCCGAGACAAGGACACTTTGGTGCATTTTGCCAAGGGATGTTAGGACTGAATCACTTTTTGCCAACTAATGGATGTTTTCCGAATTAAACCACTCAACAAATGGGTTTTCCGTATTAAACCACTAAAAGTGATTCACTTTTAGCAGGGGAGCAGAGTTAGCAACCGAGGACAGATACGGCAAGCTGCTCAGCAGCTCCTCCGTAGCGCGAGATGTGGGCACCACCGTCTCGGCATCTCGGCAGATTTTGGCCTCAAGTGGCAGGAATGCGTGGGCCATTACGGGCCCATGGCCATTCCGGCCTTTTTGAATTAGGTGTGGATCAAAAAACTGGAAAACAAACTGAAACTCGCGCAAGTGGAAGCATTGGCTATGACCTGCGGCTTTTTCGGGCGGATTTCTCTCTGTTGCCCAGTGGGTTGCTTCCTTTTTTCCTGTTTTTTGGGTAAGGGTTCTCCTTTAAACTCAACAAACAAAAACAGGGTGCCCTTTTTTCCCATGGCCGCCGGGCATCTCGGCTTTGGTTGGCGACCTCGGGCCACAGGGGTCTTTCCTGATTCGGGTAGGATTGTTACCGTTCGGGGAATCTCAAAACAGGTCTCGGATATGTTTCTACTTGTATATGGGTGGTCCTTTTTAGGGGACCCAAACAACGGTGGTTTCCCCTGTTGGTTCCCCTTTTTAGCACAAACCCGACAGGGTGCCAACTCCCGAAAACACAGAACCAAACGGAAGCTGGTGTGAACAAGGCCCAGAAGTCGGCGACTCAGCTTGTTTCTCTGGTGCCCTTTCGGGTTGATTTAGGGGATAACTCACCCGATTTCGGGGTCCAAGTCCCTGTTCACCCTCAAAGCCCCATGATTTTCGGCTATTGTGCCATGCTCAAAGTCCGCATAGTCCGCCAGGTGATATTTTAAAAGGAAGGCCGCAGTTTGGGCAGCGGCTTGTGAAAACAAAATCGGAAGGGAACACCGCCTCAAACCCTCTCCCCCCCCCGCCCGCCCGCCCTCCAGTTCTGAGGTTCCCCTGAAACCCAGCCGTTCTGACGTTCCCCAAACTGACCGCCCCAAGCCGCGAGGTCCGGGAGCTCTTCAAGAGGCTCCCGGTGCGGCACAAGGAGTTCACCCGCAACGCGAAGGCCCAGGCGCGGGGAAACTGGGCGACCCACCGACCCACCCACTGACCCCCAGATGCCGTGGGTCTTTTGGGCACCAAGCGAAAACAAGTTTAAGCAAAGAAGGAGAGGAGTCCTTTTTTAAAGAACAGCCAAGCAGGTGATTGCGACTCATTTGGGCAGACCTCTCACAGATCTTGGCTTTTTTTTGGCCTTAATGAGGCTTAAGCCAGGGCCCCGTTGGCGGGGGGTTGTGGGGGCGCTGCTCTTTTTATGGGCTTCCAGGACTATTGATGTTTGAATTTGCCGTTTTCGGGGCTAACCCCTTGAACCAAGACCAATGTCAGTTGCTCATGCGCGCCGTCATCAAAATTTGGTGAAGAAGGAGGACACCCAAAACCTATGGCAAGATAATGTTCCGGTGGATAATATTACAGAGAGACACAGGTTTTCGACGACCACCATCTTGCAAAGGCCCCAAGCATTGCCCATGATTGCCCCAAAGGATCCAGTCACTCACTAAGTAACCAGCATGGAAAACGTCTGGGACCAAACCTGCCGATCGGATCTTGGGAAAAAAAGGTGGCCCGCGTCTCGTGCGGGTCCCGCACAGCGCCAGAAAAAAAACACTAAAAAAACACATCCCCCGTGGCTCGCCATCTTGGCGTCGGTCTCGCTCGAGGTGAACGCCACCCTGCGCCTGCTCCAGTCTTATGCCATTGCGCAGCCAGAGGCCGGGTGGGTTTCGCGATGTCCTCGGTGTTTTATTTTTTGCCGTTTGGTCCGCTGTTTTCTTTCGGTTCCTTTCTTGACGCCTTGGCTTCCCCGTTTTTTCCCAGGCGTGCTGATGGGCTTCTTTTTCGCCTGTTTGCCGGTTCTTGCGAGGTCTTGCCGGGGGAAACTGGTGCCTGGTGAATTCCCCGCTCTGCTCGCCTGGATGAAACGGGAACTTCCCTGAGTGAAACAAAAGCGAGTCGACGGTGGTTGTGACAACTTCCCACGATTCAACTCTGCAGCGGCACACCTGCCCCGGCATTTGCACCCGACTAAACTCAGTGTTTTTTCTTCAGATTCTGGCCCATACCCCCTTGCGAGTGCACATGGAACCCAAGAGAGGGCTCCAATTCCTCTAGGCATGATCGGTTGAGTTCCATGCTAATCTGCAGGGGACCACTTGGTGAACCGTAAGATGGATAATCTAATCATGTTAAAAGACATCCCGGACAGAGGGAATCTTACGCAGGGGGGGGGAGCAATCGTCAGCATTCGTTCCTCGCATTGGATCGGGCTCATAGCCGCTCGTACAATCAGCCTCCCTCCAATTGGTGGTTTGGATTGATGGTTTGGTGGTTTGTGGGGTGGCTTTCCATTTGCCCTCAAAATCCAACTCCCAAACCACCAGGCGCAAGAGCCGGGAAAGCCGCGTAAAATCCAGAGGCACTAGTCCTTACCTGCCGTAGCTGACTCCTGGGCTGCTATGGTGGCTTGCCTACCTGCGAAGTGGGAGCCGAAGCTGCTCACAATCCTGTCCCACTGATCTGGTTTGGTCACCTCCGGCCCGCTTCTTCTCTCTAGACTGGCAACACCTATGTTGTAGAGTATGAAACAACATTCATGTGTTTCCAACATTCTAAGGATTAAACCATCAATTGAGTCTGGGATATTCCACCTGGATACAGAGGTGAGGGGAATGATAACCGAATCGTTTCAAGATATGTTTCATGCTCTTTTCGCCTCTACCTCTTTTTATGTGCTTACCGCATGTACACAGCAACACACACACACACACAGAGTGAGCATGAGAGACGGAAAGAGAGATAAAACGAAGACATAACACATAATGTGGTAGACAGGACATTGATAGAAACCTCAGGACTGTTGATGCTATTTTCCTGCAAATGTTTGCATGTAGCTCAAAGAAGTGGTCCGAGCCCCACAAAGGACATTCTTCTACAATGGTTTTCAGTTCCATCTTTCGGAGTGTAAGACTCCTCTACTTTAGAATGGGCTTGTGCGGGATTTTTCAAGGACCAAATTTTTGGTCACGATCACAAGAGTGTAACGTGTGGACGTATTTGGCCCGTTGCATCATGGTTTGGCTCGTGTGTGTGTGTGTGTCAAAATAGGGGGACCCCAGACCCTTAAACCACACACATCTGAGTGAGGGCTTCTCACGGATTTTGGACTCTCCGGTTGGCAACAGGGAAGCTAAAGGGACACTGCTGCAATTTTAGGAAATGCACCGATTTCCGTTTAAGAGACCCCGGAAACACCCCCAATCTGAGAGAACCCAAAAAACATCCAAAAGCTAACCAAGTGAGAGACAGGGGTTCCCAGACTCAAACCAATTGAAGCAACAAGAGGCACTCAAGCTTAACTCACTTTCTTGCTGTTCCCTTTTGGGTTTCCTTCATTTCGTTTTGGTTTGACCTTCCCCCCAATTTGAATTGGTGGTGTGGGGATTTGAACTGCTGGATCTTGTGCAAGGTGAATGGGACCCACCAATCCCAACCACGAATAGAGGGAAGCTGAAACAAGGTGGTCCAGACTCTTCAGCGGTGGCTCCCAGCCATCCGGTTCCTTAGATTTTTAGATCCTTTCAGTGTGTAGTGGTAGTTTCCATTTCACCCACCAAAAGGTTACTAGTTTCCAAAAGTGAGTTTCCAAAAGTTAACCCACTTTTAGTGGTATACTTTCCATTTAATTTAGCTCCACCACTTAGATCCTAAAAGTCACTTTTCGGGGATCTGAAAACGGGCAGCCCGTGTTTTCAGGTGCGCTTCGCCGTGGTGTCAGAGAAGCTCCGCGGCACGCAGGGAGCCAATGCCGCCAACCGGGCCACGCTGCTCTGCACCTCAGGCGAAGCACCGGGCGAAGGATTTGTCGTGTGTTGAGTTGGTACCCTGTGCGCCTCTTTAAAAAAAGAGAGCAACTATATTTTTTCCGGAACCCTTAGCTCCGTAGCTGTTGAGTTGGAAGACTTCGGAGTTTGTAAAATCTTTTGAGGATACCTTGCTCAGCTTGAAGAGGGAAGCCAACTTGCAAAACACCGTTTTGCGGGTTCCCGGCTGTGAAATTGCTGGCCCTTTTTAGTATCACACGAACCAGATGCAGGCTTCCGTCCTTGCATTGCTTTTCATTTGTTTCGGTAGACACATTTTCGTTCGTTGAAGCTCATGGTTTAACATCTGCTTCGTAGGTGTCAACGTGTCAACCCCTGACTCAAGAAACGGAGGTATCCCCTACAGACACCCAAAAGGCTGGGCTTGTGGAGTTATGGCCCATGTGCTATGGCCCATGTGCGAGCGCAGGCGCAGCTGCTGATTGGCACCAGGCGGGAAGCGAAGTTGTCCCATTGAGTTCTACTTTTTGGAGCCAATCGAGGAGTTTTCTAGAAGTCTGAAAAAGTGACCCCAAGCAACGACTCTGGGATTCTATGAATGGATTTGCATTTCCGGATCCCCCCTCCAAACAAGAAGCTGGAGCTTGATTCATCAGCTCACCCCACCAGCGGACTTCGTCGTGGCAACTCAGCCACCTCGTCGTCTCGGCTGAGCAACGGCCAAAAGACCCATCGGCCGGTCGGCTCCTGCCTGGTATTGGGTTTGTGCAAACGGTTAGGTAAACAATGCGTAGGCAAGTTGCCGGAGCCCAAAGCATCTATGGACAACGATTTTGTTCGTGATATACAGCGTTTTACGTGGCTTATCAAAGGAAGTGAGCTGACAGAAGAGAATAAATACAGAAGCACGCACGAAAAAAAAAACGCATGCGCGTGTGCAGGGGGAATAGCAGTGTCCAAACAAGTGCAACCATCTGCGGGCTTCGACTCTTACATATTTGGCTGTGGGTCAAAACCAATGGTACCATTTTGGGGTAGGTGCACCACCCATTTTTGTCTATTTTAGTTGGGATTGCGATGTTCACTGCGGGTACGATTTGGATTTTGACCCATGGCCAGTTGCGACAGTTGGCCAGATCGCGACACCTGGCCGGTCTTGGAGCTAAGCGCATTGGCGCGGACGCTTGCGCGCTTGCGCGCGCTTTTCGCAACATTGGTCTGCATGGCAGGCGCCGCACTTTCGCAAGGTCCGGAGTAGATATTGTGGCAGGCGCGGAACTTTCGAGAGGTAGATGGATAGATAGACAGAAAGAAAGATAACAGGATAACAGATAGATAGAATGGAAAGGAAGACAGTTGCAAAGAGAAAGCAGAGAGAGAGAGAGAGAGAAGAGAAAGAGCAAGATAAATGGAAGCACGCGACAAAGAAAAGGAAAAGACAGATCATCAGAGACATAATTAACAAGAGAAAGCGAAAGAGAAAGAGAAGGTGAAAAAGACAGAAACAATAAAGATTTCTTGACACTCCCACCCCCCCCCCAGCTTCGCCGACTCTATTGGTAGTAAGGACCTAGTTTCGTGGGCTTGAAAGTGAAGGCAATACCTGGATAGCCAAGTTGCTCTTTTTCAGACAATTTACCCACAACACAGTGACATTTGGGAAAGGCAAACTGGTCATCCCGGCAAGGCCCTTAAGCATGTCAAACTGCACCTCGCGCAGGCGTTCCATTTCCCTGCATCGTAGGCAGCCATGGGAACCAACCTTTCAAAACCCAAAGGAGCGCAAAGGGCCATGTCAAGCTTCACCTTCCATTTCGGCAACAAAACAACAGCCTTTCAGAACCGAAAGAAGCAACACCAAGGGCTTGCCTGGGTCAAGAACCTGCGGGATCCCTTCGAATTCTGCGCGTTTCGCGCCCGTCTTCGCGGGTTTCTCAGGCCGCCGCGGCGGTGCTGGGGGACGCCGCGCTGAGCGGCTGCGCGCGGCTGCGCTTGGAGGTGGGCGCCTGGCGCGCGGAAGGCGCGGCGGTTGGTTGGGTTGGGCGGTGGAAGCTGTAGCCCAGGTGTACTTTTCGTGCAAGTGTTGTAGGGAACGAGATTCCAACTCCAAGGCGGGCAGCTGACAAAGGAAGGTACCCTCTATGTGCCACAAGAATACTTCTCGTGTTGTTTGAGGTGCCCCAAATTTTGGACTGATCTGCATGGCCGCTCGTGGGGGGTTTCTTACAAAGCGGACGCATCCGCTGCTTGCAGCTGCCCGGAGGCCTGGTCTCGTCGCCCGGCGCTGGCCGACGCCACCGCGACATCCAGCTCTTCTTCGTGAACGGGCGGCCCATCGACGCGCCCAAGCGTGTGGTGAAGCTGATCAACGACGCCGCGCAAAAAGAAGTGGGTCGGGCTTGTGAATCCAAAGTACTGCGCCTGCCACACATTTTGATCACAGCGCTCCTAAGTGCTGCGCCTGTCACGAAAATTAGTTCGAACCGAATGCACGCAGGGCCAACGAAAATGACACTTGCACAAATACTTGCACGCCCACTCAAGCAAGACACCTTCGAATCGCAAATCACCATGGCACGGCGAGACAAACGCGCAACCTTCCAAACCACTGCGCCTGCGCAGCAAAACGACGCGGGCGCAACCAAAAAATAATCATGTCGCAAACGATACAACTCGCGCAGTCTGAGCCTGCCCCAACGGCACCGCAACTTTTGACACTTGCAAACACATGCTGACCCCAGATACGGCAACCCTTCAGCTACGCATTCGGGAAAAGGGGTGCAAGTGAAGAAAGATGGCGCAAAAACAGGCACAACCATTTCTCATGTTGCTGTTGCCGTTGTTGCCGTTGTTGCCGTTGTTGCCGTTGTTGCCGTGGCTGCCGTTCTTGCCGTTGTTGTCGTTGTCGACCTATGCCGACCCCCAGACCCTTTTCTATAGCGGGAACCCTTCCGATACACAATCGGGAAAAGGGGTGCAAGGTGAAACACACATATTGCGCAAAAACAGGACTACCAATTTTGCCTGTTGCTGTTGCTGTTGCCGTTGTCGTTTCCATTGTCAGCCCCGGCATCCTTGGCTGAGGACACCTACCATCAGTACAACTCCCGCGCCTGGCCGCTGGTGATTCTGGCCTTCACAGCTCCCCAGGGCATGGTGGATGTGAACGTAACCCCGGACAAGAAAACGGTGTTCCTGCACCAAGAGGACGCAACAAACAAAAGTAAAAAGCGTCGTTTTTCCTTCCTGAGCACCTGATCTTTGTTGGAAGAAGAGGTCTTTTTTTTGGTGGGGTGTACCTAAAACCAAACATGGAAGCGCATCCCTTTCCGCAAGGCGGTCAAAAACGGCACGTCCACGGTGTTGGTGCGAGGGCCATTGCAGACAACGTCATAGAAATTCAGTCCTTTCGGCCGCCCTGGGGTGTTTGTCTTGTAAGATTGCCGCCTTTGCCCATTGGGTGGGGGGGGTGAGGAAGGCTCGGGGTAGACTAGTAATCTGTCGGGAGTGTTCTTCTAAACGCTCAGGCTTTCCGCAATTTTTGTTTTTCTCTGACATGCAAAACAGTAAGTTGCTCCTGGGAACCTTTTGGCTCGAAGTTCCCTTTCTTGCATTTTGCCAAGGGATGTTAGGATTGAATTAATTTGTTGGTCTTCTTTGGTGGGTTTTCCGAATTAAACTCAAAGGTGAGTCACTTTCAGCAGGGGAGCAGAGTTAGCAACCGAGTATATCTATTTTTATGGTATCCCATCCTCCAAAACCCCGGTTTTGTCTGAAAACACTGGTAGGGGGGAGCAGAGTTAGCAACCGAGTTCCATTTTTTTTGGCAGGGCTCCTGAAAAGATACATTTTGCCCATTTGAGACATGTTGCTTTCTCAACGCCAAAATAGAGGGAAACCACCATAAGGCAATGTTCAGGTGTTTTTCATGTAAGGATCCCGTTTGGGCGCGGGGTGAGGAGCAGCTGCTGAGCCAGCTGCAGGCCGCCCTCACGGAGGTCTTCGCCGGTCCCGACCGGCGCCTCGACTCGACTCCTTCGCTTCGGTCGAGTCGATGCGAGCGAGGGGGGGGGTGGAGGCGAGCGGTGCGGGGTGCTGAGGGGTCAAGCAGTCGACCTGGGATTTTCGGTACTTGGTATGGGGAAAATGGGGAAGTGTTCACTTGAAAAGGGTTTTGTTGAGTTCTTTCAAGTGCGCCAGGCTTGGCTATTTGTGTAGCCTGAGGCAACGTGGGGAGGCTAGGTGGTTCCTTGAGTGAGTTCCAAGAAAGCCATCGAGCATGGACGAATACCAACATTGTCGATATGTGGAGTTTTCGCGGCACGAGAATGTGTGGCATCGTTTGTTGCTCAAGCTTTGTTTATGTGCTAACTCGAGATGCAATCGCGACTCATAAAGTGCGGGATATCAGACAGTGTCACGGTGATGCAGCCTTTAAAAGGACCAGTCAATGCCAAAGTGATGATCACACGGGCCTCTTGTTTGCAGAGTTTCTCAAAAGAGACTACTTGATCATATTGAAGCACTGTTTATGCCATCGCAGCGGTTTTAGATGAACCATGTAATGCTCAGATGTGGAAGTGTTACTCTTTTGTCGATCGTTTGCCAGTGAAAGGAAAGGGAACTGCTCAGAATGTCAGTGTCCTATTTTTGGAGAAGCCATGCAGCTGTATCTAAGGAACCAAAAGAACACCCTTTGGACCTGGGGCTCTTTTGGCCCATGAAAATCGAATGTTGGCGATGATTTCGCCCCTTGTATTACTTTGTTTCCCCGTGAGAGAACATTATATTACTTTATAGCTTGGGGCTCGTCCCTGGTTTTGGGGGGCTTAGAGCTCGTCCCCCTTGTCAAGGCGAATTCTCCAGGCCCATTGACCGCCATTCCGAGGCAAAGGCTGGGTACTCTCAGCGGGGTTCGCAGCTCCGAGGCTCGAGTGACTCGACGTGCGGCTGGTGCTTTGTACCGCGACTCCCAAAGAGAACCAAGATTTGACAGGGGCAACAAAGGCAAACGGCTGGCAGAAGTTCAGAAAGGGGGCTCCCCAAGTTTTTTTTTTGGGGGAAGGACGCTAGGCATGCACGCCGCAGTGCCAAGCTTTCAGCAGCTTCCATGGTTCCATTGAGAGCCGAGGCGCCCATCGACAGCGACAGCGGGGTGCCATAGCAAGCCGTGCCTTTAGATTTGAATCCAGCCAAATCATCCGTTGCTTTTTTGTATGTTCCGTTGTTGGCTTTGAAGGGAATCTATGACTACAAGATGCTTTTCCCGGGGGGCTTTGACTACACTATGGTTCCCCAAAAAAGCTTCAGCAAATGGGAGAAAATACCAACAGTACTTGCTTATGATTTCGGAACCCTCTTCCGCAGAAAATATCCTCTTCTAGTTTCTGAGGGGTTGACAGACCGGAGAAGATGCGAGATTCGCAGAATCCCAAGTCCCCATATTGGGTGCCCGGTTTGTTCGCCCAACCCAGTGCTTCGAGCTGGAAGTGTTTCTTACCAGCTTTTGCCTGGTGTTACTTGGTTACCTGCTAAAATTGACAATCTGCAACTTGAAGTCACGGGAATTGGCAACTTTTCATCGAGCATCCACTTGGGGGATATGGCTATGATTGTCAATGGGGAACCTGAAAAGGTGGTTGGACATGAATCCCCGCCAAATCAACGGGTGCAAGCACTGAAAAGTCAATCCCATCTCCGGAAGCGCTTCGAAGAACCCAAAGCCGATTGGACTCGTGGGGATTTGTTGAGAAAACGCCGGCTGAGGTCAGGAAAAGGACGCCCCAGACACTCCGCAGCCGGCCAAAGCTGCGAGCCCAGCGTTGCTTCCCCACTGGGCAAGCTGTTATGGCTGGTGGTTGGAAGGGAGCCGTTTGGGAGTTGTGGGTATCCAAATTTGTTGGTAAAGAGGGAGCCAAGGAGCTACTGATCGGAGTTCTGGTTAGCGGCATGTTGTGTTTGGCTTTGGCTTTTGAGGGGTCCCTTTTTTGGCTTATTCACATGGAGCTCCAGAGGTCGCCATGGTTGGTTGCTCGATTCTTTGGCCTTGAAAAATGTTTCGGCCCCAAGGGCAAAGATGAGGACAACGGTTTCTTCTCACGTCGGGGACCAATTTGCTAGTCTTGTGGGCCTTGGGAGCTACCCTTGAAACATCGGTCCAGCGCCGGGATGTTCGAATATCCCCCTACTCAAACCCCCCCCGCCTACTCTATGCCCATAGTTTACGTCTACGCCCATAGTTTACGCCCATAGTTTACCTCCATGCCCATAGTCTACTCTATGCCCATAGCATCCACAAGTTTTTTGGGTTGTGTCACCTCACAACTCCGCAGGGGGGTCACTTCACCTCGGCGCGCAACGTAGATCACCACGACCTTGCCGAAAGATCCATTCCGATGGGTTGCGACGTGAGGTTTTCGATGGCAGGCAACGGGTTCACATTCCCCAGCTGCAAATATTCCCCTGGTATTGGTCAAAAGGAGGTCTGCCAAAAGAAAGGCTGGTATTTGGATCAAATAAACTGAGAGGGGCACCCACTCCTCGAATGGCTTAAGCCTCTCGCCAAGGCGATCGCGACGCCATGCCATCCGGATGCTTGACTGACATCAATTTTGATCCGGTTACTGTGGCAGGTACCCTCCCGTCCAATACGGAACCCGCTGTTTCCGGATCCTGGTTTGTCTTTTCACGGGTTTGATTGAGGGATTGCTTCTGCCTGCTGCCTCGATTAGCCTTACATTCACAAGCTGCCATTGGCATTGAGCATTGAGCTTTGCCACACCACATCTTTTCAATGACACACTGGTTATGCGAGGGGTGCAGGAACTCCACCCTTTGCAAAGAACCTGGGTGGGGCACAAATATGGTTCAATCACCACCTTTACATATCCAGTGGTTTAAACATGTTTAAACCAATGGGTGGCCCCACCCTACAAAGAGCCTTCGCTTCCAGCCGTTGGCTGGTAAGTAGGAGGCCCCTCCTCAAACAGGTGGCTCGAGGCGCCAGCTACAGCGGACGCCATGGCGCCTACGTTTTCTGAAAAAATACTAAACAAGGTAAACACAACCTTGAGAACAAGTGTCACTGCCCCAACTGACAAGAGAAGAGTGGTCTATATGTTTGTTACTTCCCTCTCACCCACCGACCCACCCAATCGACAAGACAAGAGCATGGGTCTCTTTTTTGGTTGGTTTGCTTAAACAAATAGAGGGCGATTCCTGGTTTAGATGGGGTTGGGTGATGGATGGACGAGCACTGACCAGGAAACCCTGGAATGATGATTCCCCTGTAAATATGTATGGGCAAGAGTGTCCGTCAAAGTGCTCAGCTGCTCCCCGCGAGGAAACGCCGGAGAAGTGCCACGTCTCGGCGGCCCACCTGCCGGCGCGCCTAGTGACAGGGCCGAAGCCTTGCCCAGCTAAGGCAAAGAGTGTATTTGTCCATCTACCCACCCAATCACCTATCTATCCATACATTCCTATACACATTACGCATATACATATATACGTACATGCATACATACATGCATGCATGCACGTACATACGAACATGCATACATACACATGCATGCATGCATGCATGCATGCATACATACGTACATACGTACATACGTACATACATACATATATACATACATACATACATACATACATACATACATACATACATACATACATACATACATACATACTTTAGAACCTCCGGCTCAGTCCGCCGACATTGTCCTGCCCCTTTTCTCCAACTTCCTCTCTCCCTTGTCTTTTTCGTGTGTTCCGTCGTCCTCTGTCCCTCCCTCTGCTCCCCATCCTCCCCATTCCCCCCAAGCCTCTCTCTCCTGAGTCTCCCTCTCTCTGTCTCTCTCTGTCTCTCTCTATCTCTCTCTCTCTCTCTCTCTCTCTCTCTCTCTTGTCAAATATCATGCTGCACTACTTGTCCCTTGTGCATGCATGATGTACACTACCCGACCGCAGGCCTTGAGTCTACCAGGAAAAGAGTGCATGCTGGCTAACTACATTTGTGTTTGTGACAACATAAACAACACCTGCCCTTGTAGTAAAGTATCGACGTATTTTAACGTGGTAGCGGAGCTGAGATCCTAGGCATAGGGGAGCTCCAGTAACAGCAGTAAGTACTACAACTGCACAGGCAACCACATGCCCAACTACTACGACATGTCAGGAGAACCAGCAGCAGCATCAGTGCAACCAACTACAGGAGCAGACAACGGGCCCACAGCAGAGGAGACAATACGAGCCACAACTACGGGAACAACACCGGAGCAGGAAGACGTCCAAAGGCTACACAAATACAAACTGCCACCACCGTTCTTCACTGGTGACTACTTACAGTACGAAGAGTGGCTGTTCAAACTACAAGCATACCTCGGACTCATCGACCGAGACTTCGACATGGTACTACAACTAGCACAAGCAGCTACAAGACAAATTGAAGATGCAGACATCAGAGCCCACATACGCGACCCTACACAGGCAGCAAAAGCAGTAGACCTCTCACGAGATCTACACTACATCCTCATCAACATCTGCCAAGGTGCAGCAGCTACAGTGGTCAGACAAAACCGCTACAATGCCAATGGATGTGAAACACTACGGCTTTCGCACAACAGGTTCAGCCTACCAGTAGGAACACGCAGTGTTGGCTACCTCACCAAACTACTGGAACCTACATTCAATGAAGCGCAATTTGAAGAACAATTCCTACAGTGGGAGTATGACATCAACTCTTACGAGAAAGACAACGGCACAGCACTACCAGATGGAGTGAAGATTGCAATACTACTCAACAAGACCAAAGGGGCACTTCAACAACATCTCCAACTACGTGCTGGACAGATCACGAACTACAACGAGATCAGAGTTGTCATCCTGGACTACTACAAGACCATATCTGCATTCTCAAGAGCGAGCTCAGCAGTTGGCACAAACTACAATGGTGGAACAGCGCCCATGGACGTGGACAACATTTGGAGGAAAGGAAGAAACTACAAAGGCAAAAGCAAATATGGAGGCAAAGGATCCTACAAAGGAAACAAAAGAAAAGGCAAGTACAGAAGCAAAGGCCAATACAAAGGATTCGACAAAGGCAGCAAAGGAAACTACAACAAAGGAGGATACAACAAGAGCAAAGGAAAAGGCTACTCAGGACCCAAAGGATATGGATCAAGCAAAGGCTACAAAGGCCAAGGAAACTACAGCAAATCAAAAGAAAAAGGAAACAACAACTACACAACATGCCATCGATGTGGCAAGCCTGGCCACTGGGCACAAGACTGCAGAGTGCCAGTGCTAGAACAAGAACAAGCAGATCATGACAACAATGAAGAACTACCTCAGGATGTGAACGACACTTTGGGACTGGTACTACGAAGGAGAAGAAGGACAACACGAGGTGAACTACATGGAGGAGAACTGGAACGACTACGACTATGACAACAGCTGGGATTGGAATGACAACAGCTATGAGGACACAGCAAACTACATTGGAGGCATCAACGAGTCACACCTTACCATTGGACACATCAGACAAGCAAACTCACGACTACACAAGCGCAAATCCAAATCACTACTTGGCAAGAGAACAACACACACAACATCATGGAACAACCACTGCAAGAGCTTTCAACAATTCCTACAAGAAGACAACACACAGCCACACTTTGACATAGCGACTCAGGAGCATCTACACATGTTTGCCCGAAGGACTACGCACCAGACCTACCGCTACGACCTTGTGGAGAATCGGTTCCACAACTCTACACGGATACAAACAAGAAGATTCCTGTCTACGGCATCAAGTACGTTCCCTACAAGCAGGACAACTTCAGGATCATGATACCCTACTACGTTTGTGATGTGAAGTATCCAATCCTCAGTGCATCAAGACTACTTGATAGAGGATATGGACTTGACTTCACTCCACGACACTGCACCATCACACATGGACAACAACAAGCACACCTTATAAGACACTCAGGACTTTTCTACGTACGAGCAGAGAAGATCGACATCCCTACAGGATTCGACATCTACCCAATGACTACAGACAATGGAAAATCCATTGCTGTGATTCAACCTACGGAGAAAACAGTACAACAACAAGAACAAATTGCACCACTCACCCACACAGACCAAGGACTACGACAGATCCTTGGTGGAAACACTGACTACTGGAAACTTGATGGTGACTACGCCGTCAGAGTACACAAACGACCACGCAAAGCATTATTCACACCACACAACAGCGGTTGCCCAATACCTGAAGGAGAACTAGATGATTGGCGACTAACCATCATCAACAGACAAGGGCAAGAGCAAGAACAACTACAAGAGAACCCAACACAACTTTCCAAGCAAGAACTACAACGAAGACTAGAAGGTGACAACTGGACTGGAGAAACCAGATTCAGAAGAAAGATAACACCTACACGCAGAGCAACATCAAAGACCACACCAACAAGGCAGAGCTCACAACCACAACGGCTAATGGACACACCACCAACCAAATCAAAGATCCAACTACGAGCACCACAAAAGATATGGAGACCTAAAGCAGCACCTTCTACAAATCTTGACACCAGACAACCAAAGGGGACAATCCACAGACCACTCACAGCACAGGAGGACAACCAAGACTACTGGGAAAGACAAGGTGAATACTGGATAAGACACCACACAACACTTAGAACAACTCTATTCACTCCAACAGATGGACCAGGATATCCACCAATCAGCACACTTGAACCTCACAGAACTACAATCACTCACAACCACTTTGGAGAAGTTTCGCAACGCAAAGATGACTGGACAGTCATGGGCAACGCAGCACTACCATTTCAATGGGAAGGAACAACAAGGTTCACCGTGAAGAAAGACTACGGGTACATCCAGGAGAACCACGATGAGGAACAACAACACGAGCGTCATGAAGCACACAGAGCAAGAGGACTACGACAACCGCAGCAGCCCGCTCCACAACAAATAGCAGAACACAACTTGACACACCTACCATACAGAAATTGGTGTCCCATTTGCGTTCAAATCAAAGGACGCCAGGACAACTACAAGAAACATCAATCACGACAACCCATCATCCAAGTGGATTTTGCCTACATCAAATCACAACAAGATCCGAAGACCATACCAGTCTTAACAGCAGTAGATGTTACTACACAACTGTGCATGGCGGTATTGGTTCCGGACAAACCATCAATGATGGACTACATGATCAACAACCTACAAGCATTCATCTTTGAATGCGGAAGAACACACGGCATACTACAAAGCGACAACGAAGACACACTCACTCAACGCACTACTAAAAGCAACAGCATCTAAAGTCGGCTCAATGACTGTACGACATTCACCATCCTACCGCAGCAACAGTCAAGGAAGCGTTGAGCGACTACATAGAACACTTCTCGGACAAATCCGCGTCGTCAAAGCTCAGGTTGAAAGCAACTACAGCACGACGATGTCCACAAAGCACTGTCTACCACCTTGGATAGTACGACATGCAGCATGGACGGTAAATCGCTACGTCGTTCACTCAGACGGCTACACAAGCTTTGAACGCCGCTGGGGAAGAAACTACGAGCGAGCAATCTGCGAATTTGGCGAGACACTACTTTACCTTCCACCACAACACAAGAAACTTCCAAAAGCAGACCTACGGATGCAGAAATGCATCTGGCTCGGAAAAGTTTCCGAAACCGGAGAAAACTACGTCGCAACGGAATCAGGCGTACAAAAGGTACGAACAGTACGGAGACTACAACCGGACTTCAAATACGACCTCGCACTGTTGAACAAAGTTTCCGGCACACCATGGGCACCACGACGGAACACCTACAACCCATCGTTCGCAACACTGTTGGATACGCAACTACAACCGTCAGAGCAAAGAAGGTCCACGCAAGATTTCGGACAACAAACGAACGCTACGGACGACATCGTTGCGGAACCCGCAACAAAACAACAACGCACTACACCACCTCCACGACTTCCGTCACATCGACGTCAAGTTCACGACCACTACCGGATAGTCCTATGGCTACTTCACCAACCGGACGACAACATCCACCACTACCAGCACCACCTCGACAAACACTAAGACGTTTAACTCCGGAAGAAGTAATGCAGCCAACTAAAGCACAGAAGACCTCAAAGGACACTACAATCAGATCAATGAAACAAGCAACCAAAGAACCACCACCACTACGACAGAAAATTAACGCAGTGACACTTCCCAACGGAAAATCCATCACCCCCTACACAAACGACGACACCTCAGAAGACCAACCCATAATCTTCGACAACGAAGGTTACGACGAAACACAACTACTGGAAGGAATGAAACACGA